TATTTATGTGAATGTATTTCTGGGCTCTCTATTCTGTTCCATTGGTCTATGTGTCTAGTCTTTTGTCAATACTACCCTATCTTGGTTACTATTGCTTTATAGTAAGTGTTGGTGTCAGTGCTCCATCTTTGTTATTTTCCTTCAATATTATTTTGGCCATTCTGGGTCTTTTGCTTCTTTATGTAAACTTCAGAATTTTCATTTTTTGGAGGTGCTAATTCAAATGGTCCTGCATTTAAAAATTCTGCTTGCTCATTACTGGTATATAAGAAAGCAACTGGCTTTTGTAAATTAATCTTGTATCCTGCAACCCTGCTATAATCACTTATTAGTTATAGGAGATTTTTAAATTGATTCTTTGGCATTTGTTTTTATTTATTTATTTATTTTGAGATAGAGTCTTGCTCTGTCTCCCAGGCTGGAGTATAGTGGTGTGATCTCGGCTCACTGCAACCTCGACATTTCCGGGTTCAAGCTATTCTCCTGACTCAGCCTCCCGAGTAGCTGGGATTACAGCCTTGCACACTACCATGCCTGGCTAATTTTTGTATTTTTAGTAGACGTGAGGTCTCACCATGTTGGCCAGGCTGGTCTCGAACTCCCGACCTCAGGTGATCCACCTGCCTTGGCCTCCCAAAGTGCTGGGATTACAGGCAGGAGCCTCTGTGCCTGGCCTGATTCTTTGCACTTTCCACATAGATGATTATGTTATCTGCAAACAAAGACAGTTTTATTTCTTCCCAATTTGTATACCTTTTATATTCTTGACTTATTGTATTTATTAGGACATCCAGTACAATGTGAACAAAGCATGGTGAAAGGGAAATAATTCTTGCCTTGTTTTTGGTAAAACTGCAGATTTGTTAGTGGTGATGCTTCTACTTCCCTCTTTTTTTGAGACGGAGTCTCGCTCTGTCACCAGGAGTGCAGTGGCGTGATCTTATCTCACTGCAACCTCTGCTTCCCAGGTTCAAGCAATTCTGCCTCAGCTTCCCGAGTAGCTGGGATTACAGGCATGTGCCACCACACCCAGCTAATTTTTGTATTTTCAGTAGAGACGAGGTTTCATCATGTTGGTCAGGTGGTCTGGAACTCCTGACCTCATGATCTGCCTGCCTTGGCCTCCCAAAGTGCTGAGATTATAGGCATGAGACATTGCATCTGGCTTTTTTTTTTTTTTTTTTTTTGAGACGGAGTTTCGCTCTTGTTGCCCATGCTGGAGTGCAATGGTATGATCTTGGCTCACGGCAACCTCCACCTCCCAGGTTCAAGTGATTGTCCTGCCTCAGCCTCCTGAGTAGCTGAGATTACAGGCATGTGCCACCATACCTGGCTAATTTTGTATTTTTGGTAGAGATGGGGTTTCTCCGTGTTGGTCAGGCTGGTCTCGAACTCCCGACCTCAGATGATCCGCCCACCTCAGCCTCCCAAAGTGCTGGGATTACAGGCACGAGCCATTGTGCCTGGCCAGCTTCTACTTTCTTATCACTAAGTATGATCTTATCTATGGGGTTTTTGGTAAAAAATTATTATTATCATTTTTTTTTTGAGACAGAGACTTGCTCTGTCACCCAGGCTGAAGTGCAGTGTCCTGATCTTGGCTCATTGCAACCTCTGCCTCCTGTGTTCAAGAGATTCTCCTGCCTCAGCCTCCTCCCTGAGTAGCTGGGACTACAGGCATGCGCCACCACACCAAACTAAATTTTTTTTTTTTTTTTTGGTATTTTTAGTAGAGATGAGGTTTCGCCATGTTGGCCAGGCAGGTATTAAATTTTTGACCTCAAGTGATTCATTCGCTTAGGCCTCCCAAAGTGCTGGGGTAAAAATTCTTTATCCAGTTGAGTAAGTTCCCCTCTATTCCTTAGTTTACTGAGAATTTTAATCACGCACAGGTGTTGGATTTTGTCAAACGCTTTTTTTTTTTGTTCCATCTATCGATATGATCATGTGATTTTTCTTCTTTAGTCTACTGATGTGATGGATTACATTCACTGATTTTCTGATGTTGAACAAGACTTTCATATCTGGGATAAATCCCACTGGTTGTGGTGTAGAGCCCTTTTTATAAATTGTTTGATTTGCCAATATTTTGTTCAGAATTTTTGCAACTATACTCATGGGAGATATAGGCCTATATAGTGTTTTGTTTTGTAGGGTTTTTTTTCAGTAATGTCTTTGTCTGGTTTTAATATCAGGGTAATGGTCTCATAGAAAGAATTAAGAAGTATTTCCCCACATTAATTTTCTGGAAGAATTTCTTTAGAACTGGTATTATTTCTTCCTTAAATGCTTGGTAGAATTACTTAGTTAAGCCATCCAGGGCTGGAGTCTCCTTCATGGAAAGGTTTTTAACTACAAATTCAATTTCTTTAATAGATATAGGACGTTTTGGGTTATCTTAAACGTGAGCTTTAGTAAATTGCATTTCACAAGGAATTTGTGCAGTTCATTGGTCAAATTCATTGGCATATCATATTCTATTTTTATTTTAATACATGTAGAATCTGAAGTCATGTCAACTTTCTCATTCTTGGTATTGGCAATTTGTGTCTTTATTTATTATTATTTTTTGAGTAGGAATTTCACACTCCAGGTGGGAGTGCAGTGGCATGATCTCGGTTCACTGCAACCTCTGACTCTGGGTTCAAGTTATTCTCCTGACTCAGCCTCCCAAGTAGCTGGGACTACAGGTACTTGCCACCATCCCAAGCTAATTTTTGTATCTTTTTTTGTATCTTTTAGTAGAGATGGGGGTTTGTTTTTTTATTTTGAGTGGAGTTTCACTCTTTTTGCCCAGGCTGGAGTGCAGTGGCACGATCTTGACTCACTGCAATTGTACCTCCCGAGTTCAAGTGATTCTCCTGCCTCAGCCTCCAGAGTAGCTGGAATTACAGGCATGCACCACCACGCATGGCTAATTTTGTATTTTCAGTAGGGATGGGTTTCATCATTTTGGCCAGGCTGGAACTCCTGACTTCAGGTGATGTGCCTGCCTTGGCCTCCCAAAGTGCTAGGATTCCAGGCATGAGCCACTGCACTGGGCCAATTTGTGTCATTTTCTTTTTTCCTGATTGGTCTGAGTATTGATCTTCTCAAAGAAACACCCTTTGATTTCATTCATTTCCCTCTCCCTCTTTTACTTTTTAATTCTATTGATTTTTGCTCTATCTACTTTCTCTTCTTTGGTTTTTCTTCATTTTCTTTGCCTAGTTTTTTTTCTTTTTTGGAGATGAGGTCTTTCTATGTTGCTCAGGCTTGTCTGGAACTCTTGGGCTCAAGTAATCCTCTCGCCTCAGCCTATTTCTGATATTGATTTCTAATTTAATTTCATTGTGGTTAGAAAATATGTTTTATATGACTTGACTCCTCTTAATATTTTTATGGCCTACAATATGGTTTATTTTGATAAATGCTTCATGAAAACTTGAAAATAATGTGTATTCTTGTTATGAGTTATCTGTAAATGTCTATTCGATTTAGTTGGTTGATTGTATTTAAGTCTTCTATATACTATTTTCCTAATTGTTCTGTCAAAAATCAAAAAAAGGATTTGAAATCTCCAAATATAATTGGAAGTTGTGGTTCTGCCAGTCTTTGCTCCACGTATTTTAAGCTTCTGTTAATGGGAACAAATATGTTTAGGGTTGTTATGTCCTGTTGATGAATTGACCCTTTTATAATGATAATTTTAAATCCTTCTTGGCCAGGTGTGGGTGGCTCACATCTGTAATCCCAGCACTTTGGGAGGCTGAGTCCGAAGGACTGCTAAAGTCAGGAGTTTGAGACTAGCCTGGGCAATAAAGTGAGACTCCATCTCTACAAATAAACAAAAAAAGTCGTGTGGTGGCGAGTGCCTGTGGTCCAAGGTACTCGGGAGGCTGAGGCAGGAGGATCCCTTGAGCCCAGGAGTTGGAAGCTGCAGTGAGCTATGGTTGCAACTTGGCATTCCAGTTTAAGTGACAGAGTGAGACGCTGTCTCTAGAAAAGAAACCTGATCCTCTTCATCCTTAGTGATAGTGTTTTCCCTGAAATTAATTTTGTTGGAATATCCTTGCCCTAAAATCTATTTGTCTACTCAGTTTTCTTTTGTGGGAGCATGGTACGATAGTGTATCTGGTTTTCTTTTTCTTATTGTTTTATTGGGGTAATCATAGGACTCACCTGGTTTGTCTCCTGCCTCTCAAGGATTACTGCACTTTGCCTGAGGTCCAGTGTCGGCAGCGTGGGCGACAGAGTGACAGGCCGTCTCAGAAAAAAACCCAAATCCCCCACCTCGGTTCAAAGTCCTCTCCTTTTCTACTCCGCTGACACGGTACAGGAAACAATGTGCAGTTTCCACTACTTGGAAGACTCGACTTGCCCTCCGAGAACCAGTTCCCAGACAGGGTTCCTAGAGCGAACAGGCACACCCCCAACACTCCCTGCTGCTTGTGAGTCTTCGCACCGCCCTCCCAGCGGTCAGTTATGTGTGCTTTGGTGTCTCTAGAGCCTAGGACCACACCGATGATAGAGCTGGCGCTTGGAGGATCTTTCCGTCTGCTGCCACTGAGGCCTCCGCTACTTCCCCCTCGCTCCTCCCGGCGGACCCACCCAGCTGCCCAAGCCCTGCATCCCAGGTTCACAAATTCAAGCGTCTCCCCTTCTTCCCGCCTGCAGCCACCCCGACGGAACTCCTCCATCGGTCCCGCCTCTAGCTCCTGCTCCCGCTCCACGGTCCGTCGGCCCTGTCCCGGCTTCTCCATCGCCCCGCCTCCAGCTCCCGCTTACCCTCCAAGGTCCTCCCTCGGTCCCGCCTCCAGCCACGCCCCTCACGCTGCGCCATAGGCCCCGCCACCAGCTCCTGGTCGCCCTCCACAGTCCTTCCTCGGCCCGGCTCCTGCTTCTCCCTCGGCCCCTCCCCCAGCTCCCGCTGGTCCTCCACAGCTCTCCCTGGCTCTGTCCCCGCTTCTCCATCGCCCCTCCTCCAGCTCCCGCTTGCCCGGCACTGTCCTCCCCTTGGCCCCGCCTCCAGTCACGCCCCCCACGCTGCTCCGTCAGCCCCGCCTCCGGTCACGCCCCTCACGCTCCTCCCGTTTGGCCCCGCCTCTAGCCCAGGCGGAGGTTGAGTCCGGCCTACGAGAGGAGACGCCGACGTCAGCGCGCCGGCACTGGGCTGGCGGAAGGGACGCCGCGTCGGGAGCGTGGGCTCCGCCGTGAGCCGCGGGGCCGCGGCGCTGCCTGGTGGCCTTTCGTCGAGCCAAGCCCGCTTCCCGAGGCGGCCAGTCGCCGCCCGCCCGCGCCTGCGCAGCGCCCGGGGCCAAGCAGGCCACGCCGGCGGCCATGGCGCACCGCTGCTTGCGGCTGTGGGGCCGGGGCAGCTGCTGGCCCCGCGGCCTTCCGCTGCTCCTCGTGCCTGGCCGCGTGGGCCAGGGCGAACGGCCCTGCCTCCGGACGGTGAGTCCTGACTGGGCGCGCGGCGCCCTCCACCCGGCCTCAGGCCCGCTTCCGGCCCGGGAGAGAGGGCGTCAAGGTCACCGGCCCCCGCCCTCCCACCGCACGCGGGCCGTCCTTGTCGAGTGCCCCGGCTCCCCGCGCTGTCTCTCCACAGGCCCTGGGAGCGCCGGTTCGCGCCCTGCCCTGCCCTGCCTGTGGGATTCGAGTGTAGAAAACACGCCGCTCCGGTGGAGCCGGGTCTTCGAGCTTCACCCGGGCGGCTGAAGCCTCGAAGGTCATGTCGGCTTGGTAGCCGTCCTTGTCCCTGCTTTCGTGGCCGGGGCGCACGAAACGAAGGCGTCTGCGATTTTGAGTCAGCAGCACGAGGACGATGTTATCTAAAGGGGGTTTCGGAGTCGGGCTGCCTAACCTCTCCAAGCCTCCGTGTTTCCTTTCCGTCTGTTGAATGGGGCCACTGCTGGCATTCCAGGACTGGCAGTATTAGCTATTATTATTAAGAATGTCACCTACCTAGCAGCCCCCATTAGCCATAGCAGCCTGAGGGCACCCCAGTCAGGAAGCTAAGAATGTCACCTTTTCAGAGCAGGGACTCTGTGTTCGTTGCATATCAGGGCCTGCTCTCAGCAGGAGGCTCTTTGTTGGTAGCCATCCCTCTGGAGACACGTGGGACCTAATGTGTGTTTCAGACATAATAGTGTGTTGACAGAACCGTGGCCTTGATCTGTCTCAAGGAAAGGTTCACGTGTCGATTAGTGGCTCACTGTTTTGGTGACACGGTTCCTCAGCCCTGCACTGGTGTACGGGTGGTGGTTGAGGTCCCCGGGTCGGCCACGGGAACCTGGCTTGGCCTCATGCTAGCCTAGCGCCCCTGAGGAAGTCAGCTAAGTGTCTTCACTGTTAAGGGTGACAGGCCAGGCGGGGGCTCAAACCTGTGATCACAGCACTTAGGGAGGCAGAGGCGGGAGAATCGCTTGAGTCCAGGAGTTGGAAACCAGCCTGGGCAGCATAGCAGGCCCTCATCTATACAGTTTTTTTTTTTAATTTGAATTTTTTTTAGAGATGGGGTTTTGCTTCCTCGCCCAGGCCGGAGTGCAGTGGTTCAAACATGGCTTACTGCAGCCTCAAACTCAAGCGATCCTCCTGCCTCAGCCTCCTGCTTATCTGAGACTACAGCCCTGAGGTTGATTTTTTTTTTTTTTTTGAGACGGAGTTTTGCTCTTGTTGCCCAGGCTGGAGTGCAATGCTACAATCTCGGCTCACCGCAACTTCCGCCTCCCGGGTTCAAGCGATTCTCCTGCCTCAGCCTCTCGAGTAGCTGGGATTATATGCCTGCACCACCATGCCCGGCGAATTTTTTGTGTCTTTAATAGAGACGGGGTTTCTCCATGTTGGTCATGAACTCCTGACCTCAGGTGATCTGTCTGCCTCGTTTTCCCAAAGTGCTGGGACCACAGGTGTAAGCCACCGCTGCCAGCCACTGTGGTTGAATTTTCAAAAATTTCTGGGCGGGGCGTGGTGTCTTAAGCCTGTAGTCCCAGCACTTTGGGAGGCTGAGGTGGGCGGATCACCTGAGGTCGGGAGAGAGACCAGCCTGACCAACATGGAGAAACCTTGTCTCTACTAAAAATACAAAATTAGCACCTGGTGGTGCATGCCTGTATCCCAGCTACTCGGGAGGCTGAGGCAGGAGAATCGCTTGAACCTGGGAGGTGGTGGTTATGGTGAGCTGAGATCGCGCCATTGTACTCTAGCTGGGCAACAAGAGCTAAACTCTGTCTCAAAAAAAAAAAAAAAAATTCTGTAGAGATGGGGTTCACCATCTTGACCAGGCTGGTCTCGAACTCCTGGACTCAGGTGATCCACTTCCTCCTCTCAAAGTGTTGGAATTACAGGCCTGAGGCACAGCTCCTGGCTTCTATCGTTATTTTTTTTTCCTTAAGTTATCTCGGCTCGGTGGCTCACACCTGTAGTCCCAGCAACTTGGGAGGCCAAGGCAGGTTGCTTGGCGTGGAACATTGACACTCCAGTGAGCTGAGATTTCACCGTTGCACTCCAGCGTAGGTGACAGGCAGACCCTGTCTCTTACAAAAAGGGTGGGGGAGGGAGAATAATAATGCCTGCATATATGACTTTTACTCTTTGAGGCTTTCTTGTCAGTCTTAGATCAATTTCTTCCTTGTGATCATACCACGCTGCCCATCCTTTTTCATTTTCCTGCATTGTATCCATTTCCGTGTTTTGCCAAGCTTTGATTCCTTTTCTTTTTCTTTTTTTTTTTGAGACAGTGTCTTGCTCTGTCGTCCTGGCTGGAGTGCAGTGGTGTGATCTCTGCTCCTGCAACCTCCACCTCCTGGGTTCAAGCGATTCTCCTGCCTCAGCCTCCCGAGTCACTTGGATTATAGGCACCTGCCACTATGCCTGACTAAATTTTGTATTTTTAGTAGAGACAGGGTTTCACCATGTTGGTCAGGCTGGTCTCTCTCCCGACCTCAGGTGATCCGCCCACCTCAGCCTCCCATAGTGCTGGGATTACAGGCGTGAGTCATCCCACCCAGCCCGACCCCTTTTCTTTTGCCACTAGTGATATTAGACTCAGACGTGCAGTTCCAGGTAGGGATCTGCATTGTGAGCTTGCAGTTTTATGTTAGAAGTATTACCCAAAGGTCTTCCTTTTGAGTGACACTATGTCCCTGTGAATCTCACTCAGATATATAAGAAAGTCGTCTGTGCTCACAGCTGTACCTGATTGATGGGGGGGCCTGATAGATACTTTCTGGTACTCTCTGAAGATCTGCCTGGGTGACACCTGGGCATTACTGTGCTGTCTGTGAGCAAGTCTGATAGGACAGGTTTTCCTTTATGTTCTTGCTACCATTAACAGAGACAGAAGTACTGCATTCATGGTGAGGTTCTTGGGGAAGAGATTCTGATGTACTGAGAGATCAGTTCTCAAGTGTGCCCAGAGGAATAAGACTGATGATAAAGCAACTGAAAAGTCCTCTTGTTGTCAAACCTAAAGGCTAATGCTCCAAAATGAGGCACTCTCAACTTAAATTTTGTGAATTAGTATCTCACATTAGTCCTTGAGTGGTAGACACGCAGAGCTTGGATTAGATATGCAGAGGAGAAAAAGTTTCATTGATGATTTCTTTATGGAATACAACCCCAGTGTTAAATTCAGTCACAGTTATTGCTAGGGATATTCCATGTCAACACAGTTTGTAAATAGAGCCTGAAAAGGGCTTTTCAGTCAATATTTATGGAGTGTATACAGTGCCCAGTTCTATACTAAACTTTATGGTGATATAAAGACTTGCTTTATATGGTACTATGGTTTGAATATGGTTTGCGTTTGGCCTCACCAAAACTCATGTTGAAATTTGTTCCCAATCCTGCAGTGAGAGGTGGGGCCCAGTGGGGGGTGTTTGGGCCATGGGAGCGGAGCCCTCATGAGTGTCTTGGTGCTATTCTAAAGGTAGTACGTGAGTTCTGTGAGCTGTGGGGAGACTGGCTTAGTGCCAGGGACCGTAGGTGGTTATAAAGTAGAACTTCCTCATGGCATGTGACCGCTTTGCCATTGACCTTCTCTCACCATGTTTTGATGTAGCACCTTCTGCCATGTTTTGACCTAGCATGTGACCCTCACTGTAAGCCCAGCACCCTTCTTTCTCCAGCACCCTGTTTCTCCTACTTCCCTGCTTGCAGAACTGTGCGCTACATAAACCTTTGTAAATTACCCAGCTTCAGGTACCCTGTTTTAGCAGAACAGAGAGGACTAAGATGTGGTGATAGGAAGATCCCTTCATATTACCTCTGTGCCACTCCTGTTCCCTGTACTTAGAGCTTTTGTTTTGTGACATTGTTATGCCATAGTGTAACTGATTTGTCCCATGACTTTCTCTGCTTTGTTTCTGTGCTTCTTAGGGGTTGGAACTGGTTCTGATTCCCCTTTGGACACCCCAGTGCTTGAGAGCACCTGGCCTGGATTTGCTGACTTGTCTAACTTGAGTAACAATTCATTTTAATCTACACCCATAATGGATTTGGCATTGGAAAAAACTCTTTTATGTTGCCTTCTTACCTGTTACCAGTGCTTATTTCATAGGCCAAGTGTTCTGGTGGTTTGGGACGGTGTAACACAACATAAGCTCCAAAGTCTCCCAGGCCAGTATTGCACTGAGACAAAAACAGTATTGGTGTTCCTGTCCTGTTTTGCTGTGTAGAATTATGTATTTATTTGAAGTTAAATCATCTCATTCTTTTTTTTTATTGACATTTTTATTCACAAACCATTCTTCATCTTAAGTGTGCAGTTCATTGGTTTTTAACATATTCACATGGTTGTGCAGCCATCATCACTGTCCCTAATTCCAGAACATTTTCAGCACTCCAGAAAGAAGCCCTGTGAACATTAGCAATCACTCCTCATTTCTCTATAACCATTCCCCCTGCCCTAGGCAACCACTAATGTATCTCTCTATGGATTTGCCTATTCTAGGTATTTCATATAAATGGAATCATAATATGTGACCTTTTGTGTCTGGCTTCTTTCAATTAATACAGTGTTTTCATGGTTCATCCATGTGTCAGTACTTCATTCCTTTGTTTGAGTGACTGGTATTCTCTTGTATGGGCATACTACATTTTATCTGTTCATCAGGTGGTAAACATTTGTGTGCATATTTTTGTGTGGATATGTGTTTTCAGCTTCCTTGGTTGGGATGGCATTGCTGGGTCATATGGTAACTCTACATTGACCATTTTGAGGATCTGTCAAACTTTTCCAACGTGCCTACACCATTTTACATTCTCACCAGCACAGTGTACAAGGCTCCAGTTTCTCCACATCCTCACCCACACTTGTCTGTCTTTTTGATTATAGTGAGTGTGTGGTGGTTTTATTTGGTTTTGTAATTTTTATAATTATAGTTTTATTTTTTTTTTAAATAGAAACTGGTCTGGCTGTGTTGCCCAGGCTAGTCTCAAACTCCTGACCTCAGGTGATCCTCCTGCCTCAGCCTCCCAAAGTGCTGGGATGGCAAGTGTGAGCCACCTCACCTGGCCAATTTTGTGATGTTTTAACCATAAAGGAGGGAAATGATGATGGATGTCAATCTGTATACACTTCACTTTGAACATTCCCATCTGAATACACAAATTAGCCAGGCATGGTGGTATATGCCTGTAGTCCCAGCTCCTCTGGAGACTGGGGTGGGGGAGTCACTTGGGCTCTGGGAGTGGAGGTTGCAGTAAGCTGAGATTGTGCCTCTGCACTCCAACGTGGGTGACAGAGTGAGACCCTGTCTCAAAAACAAACAAACAAAACACATTCCCATCTCTATTTAAAAGCCACTTACCTTCCTCTCCCCTTGTGGCGAAAATTTTCAGTTTGCAAAAGGGTACGATTACTTGAACTTTTCACCTCCTGATAGGAATATATCTTCTCAAAGCCTCTTGACATTGACTGCTCTTAATTGTGCAACTAAGTTTAATAGAGAGCCTCTTTAGTTTGTTTACATTATGCTTTGATTTACCTAGACTGTATTTACAAACAACTTTTTAGCAACATATGTTATATAAAGCAGAAATGTATCTGTAGTGGGACTTTCTGTTAATATGATTTTCACCAGTATGACAATATATCAGATATCTTTAGAAAATGTTGCTGGTATAAGGATTATCAGTGATGATGGGTCCTGACTTACATCATTGAACTAAGATACACTTAGTGTTATGTTTAAAGGCAGCACTGGTCTGTAACTTCAGGCAAATACCTTGTAGTATAATGGATCCTGCAAATGAGTCAGCATGAAGCACACATTTGCCATGTCAGGGTTTGTCCTTTTTTCCTTTTTTTTTTTTTTTGAGTTGGAGTCATGCTCTGTTGCCAGGTTGAAGTGCAGTGGTGCGATCTCAGCTCACTGCAACCTCCGACTCCTTGGTTCAATTGATTCTCCTGCCTCAGCCTCTCAAGTAGCTGGGACTACAGGCATTCACCACCACACGCAGCTAATTTTTGTATTTTTAGTAGAGACCTGGTTTCACTATGTTGGCCGGGATGGTCTTGATCTCCTGACCTTGTGAACCACCTGCCTAAGCCTCCCAAAGTGCAGGGATTACAGGCGAGAGGCACTGCGCCTGGCCAGGGTTTCTCTTTTGAGTGCTACAAATTAAACAAACATCGTCAAAGTGAATGTATTGTCACATAATTATAACTGGACCGCAATTCTACATTATGTCTGATTTTGAAATATTCTTGTTTTCTGGACAATAATATATGTCCCCTGGTTCTTTTGCTGGAATAGTGGCCTAGTGTTAGGTAACCTTAGTCCCCAATAAGGGAGTCATTCTGTGTTACTTTGTAGCCATCTGTGGAAGATAGAGACCTTTCACCTACTTTATGACCAGGAAATGAAGCTCTTTTAAATTTTTTATCTTGATATAACCATGCTTTTATTTTTATGTGATGTTGCAGCTTTATCGATATGCTACAACTCAAGCAAGGGACAGCAGAAATTCTCTTTTGACAGATGTAATTGCTTCTTATCAAAGATTCTGTTCTCGACCGCCAAAAGGTAAATGCTTAGGTGTGGCCGTAGTGTTCTACATTCTTAGGTTGGGTCTTCTCTCTCCTTCTGTAACCAGTTCCCCTGCCTCTACCTTCTCTCTGATTACAGCATTGAAGATATGTCATCTTCAAATGTAACACATTTGTAGATAATGAAATTGGTATGCAAAAAGGAGACTTTTTCCTTTAACACTTTGGGTTGTGAACTATTATTTAGACTTTGATGTGCTTGTCCACAAGAAATGTTCTGCTTTTAGCTTATGCTTTTTTTTTTTTTTTTTTTGAGATGGAGTTTTGCTCTTGTTGCCCAGGCTGGAGTGCAGTAGCGTGATCTTGGCTCGCTGCAACCGCTGCATCCTGGGTTCAAGCAATTCTCCTGCCTCAGCCTCCCAAGTAGCTGGGATTACAGGCACCTGCCACTCACGCCCAGCTAATTTTTTGTATTTTTAGTAGAGACAGGGTTTCGCCATGTTGGGCAGTCTGGTCTTGAACTCCTGACCTCAGGTGATCTGCTCTTCTCGGCCTCCCAAAGTGCTGGGATTACAGGCATGAGCCACCACGCCTGGCCAACTTGTGCTTTTTAATGATGCATCAGCTTCTTTGAAAAGAAAATGAACCCAAAACCTGGTGAATTTTAGTTTGAAGATGTGTATTTTTTTTTTTCCTTTTCTAACAGGATTTGAAAAATACTTTCCTAATGGAAAAAATGGAAAAAAAGCTAGTGAACCTAAAGAAGTTATGGGAGAAAAAAAAGGTACCTTTTGACAAGATTATATTTGAATTTTGTGTTTTCCCCTCGTATATGATGGTGATAGTTTCCACTGAACAAAGAAAAGCGTTATCAGGCTGGGAATGGTGTCTCACTCCTGTAATCCCAGCACCTTGGGAGGCCAAGGCAGGTGGATTGCTTGAGTCCAGGAGGTCAAGACCAGCCTGGGCAATGTGGTGAAACCCCATCCCTACTAAAAATACAAAAAATTAGTTAGGCATGGTGGTATATACCTATAGTCCCAGCTACTTGGGAGGCTGAGGTGGGAGAATTACCTGAGCCTGGCAGTGAGCTGTGATGTGATAGTACCCCTGCACTGCAGCCTGGGCAGCAGAGAGACTCTGTCTCAAAAAAAAAAAAATTAAAAAAAGAAAGAAAGTTATAGTAAGTCAGTTGTGAAGCTGTAGGTTACAAGTATATATAAAATTCTACAGACCTTATGTTTCATTTCACCTTAATTTTCTGTTGATATTTTCTTGTCATTTTGCAAACTGAGGTAATTTAAGGCCACCTTAGAGGTATTGATTAGTCAAACTAAGCATATTTGGTATATTCTGGCACATAATTGAGAACAGTCTTAGAAATCTAATATATGCAATTTGTTTGAGACATATTGTGTTTAGGGCAGTGTTTTAAAAATTACTCTTCAGAGCGTTATCTCACCTTAGGGATTCAGAGAGACTTTCTTAGAGCTGGGTGGCTGGGGGACCGAGTGAGCTCCAAGTCTCCTGTGCCCATTTCATGAGGATGATAGCATTTAGCACCATGTATTGCACATGCCGGTATTCAATTGGCATCCTTGCTTTTTAGGGAAATGTAAGGACAACTATAATTTAGTTATTGGTTTTTTTTTTTTTTTTTTTTTTTCCCCCCTGAGAAGGAGTCTCGCTCTGTCGCACAGGCTGGAGTGCAGTGGTGCCATCTTGGCTCACTGCAACCTCTGCCTCCTGGGTTCAAGTGATTTTCCTGCCTCAGCCTCCCAAGTAGCTAGGATTATAGGCACGTGCTACCAAGCCTAACTAACTTTTATAATTTTAGTAGAGACCGGGTTTCAATATGTTGGCCTGGCTGGTCTTGAACTCCTGATCTCTTGTGATCCACTAGCCTCAAAGTGCTGGGATTACAGGCATGACAACTGCACCTGTCCTCAGTCCTTGTTTTTAAATGTGCTTGTCATCTAGTTGGAGAGACAGATACATGCTCAAAGAATGCAAAGGAGTGAGAGCCAGGGAACACAGGATAGGAAAAGCGCTGGTGTGGGCTGGTGATAGCCCCGGGGTTCTAGATTAGAGCAGTGCCTACGGTCTCCCAGTGCCTGCTAGGAAGTCTTTGAGTCTTGGTGTGGGGGACAAGTAATGATAACCCATAGGAACTCTTGGGTGCCTTTTTTGTGGACATTCCTTTCTCCCTGAGTGGTGTGGAATGTTGCACAGCTTTAGTGGCGTGCTTATTGCCTGTTTCCCAGTCCTGGGCCTCATTGCAGGTGCTGAGGCTTGTGCACATCACGCCTGTCTCAGACTCCACTTAAGACAGAGGTGCAGAAGCTCCTCATGTGCAGCACAGAGGTGTGAATGTGTTGTGAAGCCACATGTCACGTAGCCACTGAGGATGGCCAGGAGGTTGTTACACTAGAGGTGTTGCTTCATGGTCACTGAAGACATTAGAAGTGTATTCGGGCCGGGTACAGTGGCTCATGCCTGTAATCCCAGCACTTTGGGAGGCTGAAGCGGGTGCATCACCTGAGGTCAGGAGTCTAAGACCAGCCTGGGCAACATGGTGAAACCCCATCTTTACTGAAAATACAAAAATTAGCCGAGCGTGGTGGCACGTGCCTGTAATCCCAGCTACTCGGGAGGCTGAGGCATAAAAGCCACTTGAACCCGAGAGGCACAGGCTGCAGTGAGCTGAGATTGTGCCATTGCACTCCAGCCTGGTGACAGAGTGAGACTGTCTCAAAAAAAAAAAAAAAAAAGTGTATTTGTTGGTCTTTGAGAGATGGAGAAGTGGCAAAAGAAAGGAAGATGTTGGCATCATTGACTACATCAGTTTGCTAGGGCTGCTGTCACAAAGTATCACAGACTGGGTGGCTTAATCAACAAATATTTAATGTTATGGTTCTGGAGGCTAGAAATCCAAGCTCAGGGTGTCATCAGATTGTGTTCCTTTTGTGGGCTGGGAGGGAATGGTCTGTTCCAGGTTTTTAGATGGTTGTCTGTCCTGTTTCTTCATATCATCTTCCCTCTATGCCTGTCTGTGTCCAAGTTTCCCTTTCTATACGACCAGTAGTTATATTGGATTAGGGCTCACTGATGACCTTGTCTCAATGTGATTATCTCTGTGAAAAACCTTTTTCCAGTTAAGTCCTTGTCCTGAGGATCTGAGGACTAGGACTTTCCCATAAGGATTTTGGGGGACACAGTTCATCATCTGATTCATTTCAGATTCCTGCAACTAGTTTTTTGTGGGTGTGTTTTTTTAGCCATTTGTCAAAACCGTGGGCTTTCCTGCAGAAGAAACTGAACAATGTATACTTTGGGGGAAGTAGGAAAGGGAGTACTTACTTTTGTTTTGTTGTTGCTGTTGTTTTTGAGATAGGGTCTTCCTGTTGCCCAGGCTGAAGTGCAGTGGTACAATCACACCTCACAGTAGGCTCGAACTCTAGGGCTCAAGTGATCCTCCTGCCTCAGCCTCCTATGTGGTTGGGACCATGGGTGCATGCTGTGGGATTTGTGTCTCACAGAGCATATATCGTATTGTGCCTGGCTAATTTTGAATTTTTTTTTTTTGTAGAGGCAGGGTTTTGCTTTGTTGTCCAGTCTGGTCTTGAACTCCTGGGCTCAAGGGATTCTCCTGCTTTGGCCCCTGCAGAGTTCTGGTATTACAGGCATGAGCCACCGTGCCTGGCTAGCACATACTTTTTTTTTTTTTCTTTTCATTCTGTAGTCATTTCTTTATGAAACATTAATCTTTGACAATAAATATAAGAAGAAAAGCCATCCTCAGGTGCCTGCAGGGGAGCTAGCACCTACTTTTAAACTTTGAGTGGGGACTGAGGAATTTGCATCCCAACTCTGTCACTTATTCACTATCCCCTAACACTGCCACACATTATCCACCAAGTTACTTAAGCTATACTTTCTCCCTCTGTGAATGGGTATAACAGTCCTATAATTTCTTGGGTTATTGTGCATGAGATGATACAAGTATAGCCCTTGGGAGCCTCCCTGATTGGTAAGCTTTATTTGTATTCCTCCTCATAGTGCTTCATGTAGTAACTGATGAGCCGACACAGTGTATTCTGCAATAAGGCTTTTAATTAAACAGTATAGATGAAGACATTGCTGAGAGAGCCAAAACCTTGCCATGCTTCTGTGTGTGCTCTTTGTTTATGAACAGAATCAAAGCCAGCTGCTACCGCACGCTCTTCTGGAGGAGGAGGTGGTGGTGGAAAACGAAGTGGCAAGAAAGATGATTCTCACTGGTGGTCCAGGTTCCAGAAGGTTTGATCCTATACAGTGTGTGAATTTTGAGGTTATGATGGTGGCACAGAGAAGGTTGGGAGGCATTATTAGTTTTGGAGGGATAGATCGTATTGTGGAATTTTCATTCTTCACAGAAGCTGTCTCCCTCTCTGCCCAGGGTGACTTTCCATGGGATGACAAGGATTTCAGGATGTACTTCCTCTGGACTACTCTTTTCTGGGGTGGAGTCATGTTTTACTTCTTGTTCAAGAGATCCGGGAGAGAAATCACTTGGAAGGACTTTGTCAATAACTATCTTTCAAAAGGAGTAGTAAGTATTTGATGGGATTGGTGGCTGTTGTGGTTCAAAGGTGAAATCCAGCAGATGAAACCAAAGAAGTGACAGCAGATAAACCTGGCTTGTCCGTTGTAAAGTTGTTACTTTCACTTGGATTTTTCTAATGCTGAGAACTACTGCAACCAGGGGACTCATGTTTCTACCTGGTATCCCCACATTTACCCCCAAATCCTTTTATTTCACTACCTCCTAGAACCAGGTTTTGGAAGCGTTGCTTCTGACGTGGTCCTGGCAGTCCTCTGCTTGTGCCCTTTTCTCACGTGCCCTCAGCCACTACTTCTCTGTGCTGTCTGTGCCAGCCTCTCTGGGCTCTTTGTGGGTCTTTACTATGTTTAGTCACTTGTGGGTTTGGTAGCTAATGAGAGAGTGTCAACTGAGAGCAGATGGGGCTCTAAGGGAGGGCCAGGTAGGCACATTGTCCCTGCCGTTGCTCTGTCCGCAGAGCAGCCTTTGTTACTGCCTGCTGGGCTTGCCCATGTGGAACTGTATTCGCCATAACCAGTGGGAAATAAGTAAGGCTATGTTTCAACATCTTTAAGATGCTATTGATTGTAAGACACATGGTTACTAAGACAAATCTAATAAGATGCTGATGAAATTATGACATGCCATCAGTTGTAAAATGGATCTCCATTTCTGATGTTAAAATATGAAAAATGTGTGTCTTAGAATTGATGCAGTATAGTGATAGTCAGAGAACAAGGATTAGGCCTGCTATGTAGCCTTGGGGAAACTCCTTAACTTCTTAATACTTGGGTTTTCATCCATGAAATGGATAAAGTAAGGCAGTATTAATATTGAGGTAGTGTAAAGAATTAAAATGATTTCTAAACATTTACAGAAAGATAAGAAATGGTTATCTACTCAGATGGGCAGCTGCTACTGTGCTAAGAGCTGAAGTTGACAGATTAACTTCAGTTTATGTTTCCCTTGGAAGTTGCAAACCTTCAGTGGACTTGAGTTCCAAAAATACTTATATCAGACAGATCCTGCCTGTATCTTTGTCCTGTGGGTAGGGAGATGGGTTCCTGGTGCTTCCTTATACTGTTATCTTCCCAGAGTCTTCTTATCTAGTTGCATTTTTGAAACGTGTTTATCTCATGAAAGTGAGGATTTTTTTTTTTTTTTTTTTTGAGACTAAGTCTCACTCTGTTGCCAGGCTGGAGTGCAGTGGTACGATGTTGGCTCACTGCAGCCTCCGCCTCCGCCTCCTGGATTCAAGCGATTCTCCTGTCTCAGCTTCCTGAGTAGCTGGGTCTATAAGTGCATGCCACCACGCCTGGCTAGTTTTTTGTATTTTTAGTAGAGACAGGGTTTCACTGTGTTAGCCTGGACTCGATCTCCTGACCTTGTGATCTGCCTTCCTTGGCCTCCCAAAGTGGAGTCTCTCTCTGTTGCCCAGGCTGGAATGCAATGACACGATCTCCACTCACTACAACCTCTGCCTCCAGGGTTAAAGCAATTCTCCTGTCTCAGCCTCCTGAGTAGACAGGACTACAGGTGTGCACCATCACCCCTGGCTAATTTTTGTATTTTTTGTAGAGACAGGGTTTCACCACATTGGTCAGGCTGGTCTCGTATTCCTGACCTTGTGATCCTCCCGTCTTGGCCTCCCAAAGTGTTGGAATTACAGGCTAAGCCACGGTGCCCAGCTGAAAGTGAGGATCTTATAGGTGTAACTCTCAGATGTAGTAGGGACTCCCACTCAGAAGCTGCTCAGAAGCAGTGGTCATTGTGTGTGGACTGGGCTGCAGCTGTCCTTCTGAATGGGATGGCAGGTCCTCGAGGCGGCTTCTCCATAGCTCTAGCTCCTCCTGACCCTCTGGCTCTTTGGCATCAGTCTCCTGTCTCCCCAGCAGGTGTCTGTGGGGCAGAGCACTGCCAGTCATTCCTCTCTGACAGAGACTGCTTTTTAAGAACAATTGCTTCCTGATTCCAGCCCCTCTGGGATTGCTCTGGGGCTCCCTTGCTTTCTGTTTCTCATTCTTGCCTCCAAGATTTGCTGACGAAGCAAGCAGCAGGAAATAAGCACATCCCAGAGGGCCTATGCTCCTAAATCAGTTATAGTCCTTGGGATGTGGTGTTTAACAGTGTTACTAAGAATCCTATGTAGACCAGCCATGGTGGCTCATGCCTATAATTCCTGCACTTTGGGAGGCTGAGGTGGGAGGATCACTTGAATGTAGGATTTCAGGACCAGCCTGGCAACACAGGGAGACCTCATCTCTACAAAGAAATACAAAATAATTGGCCACTTGTGGTGGCTTGTACCTGTAGTCTCAAGGAGGCAGAGATAGGAGGATCTCTTAGGCCCAGAGAGGTTGAGGCTGCGGTGAGCGATGATTAGACCACCGCACTCCAGCCTGGGTAACAGAGTGAGATCCTGTCTTAAAAAATAAAAATAAAAAAATCCTATATAATTAAGAGATTCAATTAAATAAGCTTAAACTATTTTATATTTATAGAGTGACAAAAATTAAAAAGTCTTAAACTACCTAATGTTGGTATGTCCTATAGAGCAATAGTCTGTGTGCTATAGAGCAATAGTAATATTTTGCTCATGACAGTGTTAATTTGGGAACCATTTTGGAGAGCAATTTGGCAATATCTAGTAAAGCTGAAGATTCATATACCCTGCAACCCAGCCTTAGTGTGTCTACAGGTATGTATCCTGGAGAAATTTTTTAAGATGTACCCATGAAGGTAGCTATGGGAATGTTCATAACAGCATTGTGAGAAATATGTAACAGCCTAGCTGTCTATTAATAGAAGGATGGATCGGTAACTTGGGTGTCCTCATAGCATGGCATACCCTGCAGCATGGAAGTGTCAGCTTGTGTAAACTTCACGTATGCAATATTGGAGGGAAAAAGAAAGTTGTAAAAGGATACTTATATATAAAACAAGACTTTTTTGAGATGAAGTCTTGCTCTGTCGCCAGGCTGGAGTGCAGTAGTGTAATCTGCTCACTGCAACCTCCAACTCTCAGGTTCAAGGCATTCTCTTGCCTCAGCCTCCTGAGTAGCTGAGATTACAGGTGCACGCCACCACACCCATCTAATTTTTGTATTTTTAGTAGAGTCGGGGTCTTACCATGTTGGCCAGAATGGTCTCTATCTCTTGACCTTGTGATCTGCCTGCCTCTACCTCCCAAGAGCTGGGATTACAGGTGTGAGCCACCACGCCCACCAACAAGACCATTTTTAAAGTTTAAAAACAGGCAAAAGGGAATTTGCATATCATGTAGGGTTACCTATGTGTATAAGGATGTGGTTTGGGCCGCACAGCCCCTAAGTGAGAGCATGGCCCCCTTTGGGAGGGGCCGTGCCTGGGAGCTTCAGCAAAGTTAGAGGTGGAAACGTGGGGGCATCCTTATCTGATTCTTTATTCTTTCCTTGTATGGCTGAAACATCATATGTATTTTAAATGAGCTTAAAAGAGTATCTCAAGTATTTTCTCTCAATTTATGTTTGAATTTGTTTTTAAAATTCTAGGTAGACAGACTGGAAGTCGTCAACAAGCGTTTTGTTCGCGTGAACTTTATACCAGGAAAAACTCCTGTTGATGGGGTAAATCATTTTATTAATTGATATGAATTGGTTGTAAATTAACTTTTCATATTTAAAGCTGAAAGGAAAAAACCTGCCTCACATTGTGGTAGTTACATGCACCAGATATATCAGAACTGGGCAATGTGGCAGGGGTGATTTCACTAACATCAGTGGGAACAGACATGTTTATGGGTTAGTGACAGAGGGATTGGGTCAGTGTTTTGTTTTGTTTCTGATAATTATTTTGACTCCTTTTAGGAAACAGTGAAATCCCAGTTTTCAGTATTCCAGAATAGTCTATGACTTTTCAAGACTGAAAAGCAGTTGTTTGATTAGGAAGAGAAATTAAAATCTCAGTTGCCTATGTTTTGAGACAGGCCTTGTCAAATTAGTTTAAAAACATCCCCCACCACCTCCCAACCCTTTTGTGATACTATATTATTTTAATTTCCATTTGATTTTCTATTTTAAAAATAATTTGTATTTCCTCTCTGACCAGTCTCGACTATACTTCCAGAGACCACAGTGTGAGCTGAATGCATTGTGGGAATTCTGAAGGGGAGGGGGAGAGATGAAGCTGAGGCTCCCAGGACCTGCCAGGCTCCCCGAGGATAATTGTGTTTAACCATTTTCTAGCCATCCCACCTCGACAGGGCAACATTTAAGGACAACTAGAAGTGATGGTGACCATATCTGTCTAATAGCATGTCAGCAAATATCAGAGTATCTGTAAAGTCACAGGGCTCTGGTGTTGCAGTCACGTTTAGGAAAGGTATTTTAAATGTCTTGATTTCCCCCCATTCTGTCTACCTAATGATGCAATGCCTATGAATAACCATGCGTTTACCCTCAGACTTTAGTGCTGGGAATTAAGTTGGCACTCCCTCATGAGGCCAGTAGGCAACGTGTATTCAGCAGTGTGGGAAGCATGCACAAACCTATCCCTCTGCTTCTAGGAGGGAATCCTAGGGAGTGAGTAGGGTTGGGAAACACGCACACACCCATCCCTCTGCTTCTAGGAGGGAATCCTAGGGAGAGAGTAGGGATGTGTGTGAGATGTCTCTCTAACGATGTCCTCTCACACATTGTCTATACGTAGCAAAAAATGAGAACAAACCCAGCGGCCCATGCCAGGCACTGGATTAACACAGAATCCTCGTTCCTTGTCTGTTTCCGTGCTGAGCAGTTGTCCCTGGGGGCAGTGCTGTCCCTAGGGGCGATTTTGACATTGCCAGGAACTTGTTTTCTAGTGTTGACATGCACAAGCATTTATGTGTTGAAATTTATACCATTGTATATAAAGTGCTTTCTTTGTATGTCTCTTTTATATTACAGTTAAGGTTTATATTGACTTCTTTTCAAAACTGTATTTCAAAATTGTAAAAATGACATTGTACAGTCTTGAGGGACAGGCCTGGAATGCTGATGTTGTTTGTGTCTGAGCGTTGGGGTTATGGATGCCTTTGCTTTCCATATGTGCATATCCTGAATTTTTATGAAGAATGTGTATTACCTGCTTACTAAAGACTTCTTGTTTTGAGCTTTCAGGAACAGATAAGATTTTCAGTGTCTTGCCGTGAATGTAGCAGCAGTATTAATCATGTGCAGTGCTCCATACACACAGGCTTTAGCCTCACATCGGTTCTACTCTTGACTTGTAGATGGCTTACCTTCTCTATGACAGTAAAGAAGGTCTTAACGCTTAAATGAGATAGGGTCAGTCAGTGGTGGTTTTCAAATTTTAGTGTACGTAAGAATTATCTGTAAAGTTATTAAAACTTGAGTCCTGGGACCCCACCTCCACAAAGGTTCTTATCTAAATTGTGTTCTGAGAATCTGCATTTCCAACATGCTCCTGGGTGGTACCATGCTGCTGGTCCTGGGTTCACACTGCTGTGATGGGAGCCAGGCATTTGGCCCATTGCCTAGGTAATTGCAAGGGCTGAGTTGGGGAATGTTCCATCCTGTGTGGTTAATCAGGTTTTGGGCCTTTGAAACCATGTGAATTTTATATCTTTGTGAATTTTATGTCTTTGTCAGTGAACAATTTACCAAATACTATTATGTTGTTATATAAAACTTACTCTTCATCTTTTATTTTAGATATGTGGAGAGAAATACTAGAGTAATGTTCCTCACTCAGTAACACTGGTGGGAAGAACATGGGATGACATGTTGCTCTATTACGAGGGTTTTATTTTTTTGTTTTTTGTTTGAAAATGGAGTCTTGCTGTCACTCAGGCTGGAGTGCAGTGGCACAATCTTGGCTCACTACAACCTCTGCCTCCTGAGTTCAAGCCTCTCAAGTAGCTGGGCCTATAAGCACGTGCCACCATGCCTAGCTAATTTTTTGTATTTTTAGTAGAGACAGTTTGAGACCATGTTGGCAGGCTAGTCTCGGACTCCTGACCTCAGGTGATCTGCCGCCTGGGCCTCCCAAAGTGCTGGGATTACTGGCCACTGTGCCCAGCCTCTCTAGTGAGTTTTATATTATAGACATACTATTTTGATTTTAAAAATACTAAAAAAAAAAAAATAATAAGATTATTGCAAGTTAAAGGAGAAACAAAGTTTTTTTATGCGATAAAATGGAGCTAATACATGCACAGTGCTTGAAATGGAGTCTTGTTGCTAGTAAACTCCATACATATGAGGTATTGTCGTCATTGTCCTCATGGTTGTGCAAAGGCAATGTGACATTGTGGTTAGGACAGTGGTTCAGGAGCCAGACTCTCTGGGTTCAGATCTAGCCTCTTATTTCATGTATGACCATGAGCAAGTTTTCTCATCTGTAGAATGGAAACAGGAAGAGTCAGGGCTCATAGTCAATGGACACAAGTACAATAAGAAATAATTATGTGCTGGTTGGTAGAATAACCTTGACCTGGCCCCCTTGGCTGGGCCATCTGAAGCCCCACACCTCTAGGGAATAAAGAGGGAGTGCCTGGCATAGATGGCAAGGCACATCTGTACCAGTTGTACAGTGGTGGTGCGGTGTTCAGATGAACATCACTACCAGTAATGGCACCTGCTTCTTGGGATGGGCCTCAGGATTGAGTGAACTAACGCAGCTAAAGGGCTCAGAACAATGCCTGGCACTTAGTACACACCCAGTAAACGTTAGCTCTTATCGCTGTATCACAGTAGTTTTCAGTTTGGGAATAGGGAGCTAAAATACCTAGAAAATGGAAGAACAGGAAAAGAATGCTTATTTATTGGCTGGTTGGTTGGTTGGTTGATTGATTAATTGATTGAAGGAGTTTTGCCCTTGTTGCTCAGGCTAGAGTGCCATTGTGCAACCTCAGCTCACTGCAACCTCTGTCTCCTGGGTTCAAGCGATTCTCCTGCCTCAACCTCCTGAGTAACTGGGATTACAGGCATGTGCCACCACGCCTGGCTAATTTTGTATTTTTAGTAGAGGCAGGGTTTCTTCATGTTGGTCAGGCTTGTCTCGAACTCCCGACCTCTGGTGATCCGCCTGCCTCGGCCTCCCAAAGTGCTGGGATTACAGGTGTGAGGCACCGTGCCTGGCCAAGAATGCATATTTATTTTAAAAAGGATTACGTTTTCAAATAGATTTTTCATTATATTTTTTCGGTTTATAATTTTAGAACCACTGAGATATTGCTGCTAAAGAAATGCTTATTTGCCAAGAATTGCCAGGTGTTCTCAATGAGTAACATTTAATCACCACATTATTAAAACCAGTCTTTTATTATTTTTTTCTTTAATTTATACATTTCAGTATTTCTGAAAAATTCTTAAAAAGTTGAAACCTTTAGTGAATTGAACCTTTTGGCTTCACTTCATTCTTAGGATATTTGCTTTTTTGTTTTTATAGCAATACATTTGGTTTAATATTGGCAGTGTGGACACCTTTGAACGGAATCTGGAAACTTTACAGCAGGAATTGGGCATAGAAGGAGAAAACCGGGTGCCTGTTGTCTACATTGCTGAAAGTGATGGGTAAGGGGTAGTCTTAAAATACAACATTTTGGAGACTGTTTACTGTGCTGCCTGTGGTTCACTGTGTTCTGTCCCTGGATGCAGGGCTGCACATTATATTCTCACACAGGCCTTTCTCAGTTTGGCCAGGTTTTAAAAAAACTATTAATAACTCATTAGTTTCGCACATGACTTCATTTTCTACGCATTTATACTTATCTTGATTAAGCAGTGGTTTGGGATATTAACATTCAATGCATTGACCTTCAGTAGGATTTTAGCATAAAGAACCCCTTTGTATCAAAGACTGGCATTCCCATCATGTTTACATGTCACAGAGTTTTCCAGGATTTTTAGGTAATTTTCTCTTGTCAGAACTTCTTTGAGGGTTGTCTTTAATGAGGCCATGTTAGTAACCCCACTTAATTCTGGGCAGATGCTCCGTTATTGTAAGAGTTGGTTGCCATGGAGCTCATTTGGGAATTCTGTTGCCTTTGAAGAACACTTGCCAGTTAACCCTTATTTTCATTAAGTGCAGAAGGTGTAATTGATGTAGCTATATATATATTTATATTGATACCTTGCACCACATGCGAAACCTGGATGTGAGCAGCCAGTACTAACCTGTGTTACGCCTGTGTCCCCAGCTCTTTTCTGCTGAGCATGCTGCCCACGGTACTTATCATCGCCTTCTTGCTCTACACCATCAGAAGAGGGCCTGCTGGCATTGGCCGGACAGGCCGAGGGATGGGTGGACTCTTCAGTGTCGGAGAAACCACTGCCAAGGTCTTAAAGGATGAGATTGATGTGAAGTTCAAAGATGTGGCTGGCTGTGAGGAGGCCAAGCTAGAGATCATGGAATTTGTGAATTTCTTGAAAAACCCAAAGCAGTATCAAGACCTAGGAGCAAAAATCCCAAAGGTAAAATGAGCTTTTATAAGATTAACTTTTTGACGGGTTTCTTGATCTCTGAAGTTATAATTTTATGAAGTTTGATTACTTACGATAGATAGCTATTTTTCTGTCTTTTCTCTTTCTCACCTTACTAGGCTAGCCTCTGCGTAACATGGTTTGTTTTGGGTCAATTGTTTTATGTGAATGTGTTTTCTTGTATATAGTGTGTATATTCCTGAAAATATCTGAGTTACCTCCTCTTGAAGACTTCCTTGATTTGCCTTCCCTCTCCCTCCAGTCTGATTTAGATGCCCCATCTCTCAGCAACCGTAGGCCTGCTGTAGCTCTCTGAGCATGTCACACTCTGCTGTCACCCAGTGTCCCTTCAAGGGATGTGTGTGGATAGGACACATGTGCTAGCACTGAAGTTCACGGCACAGGATCTAGCCGGGAGGAGACAGTACTCACTATCACCTTCCCCCTTCCAGCAAATAAACTCGTGCCCGCTGTGCTAGTGATGGGCTGTGCCCTACAGGGCTTCAATGGAACAGTAACTTCATATTTGTTAAATGGATCTTCTATTAAGTAAATGAATAAAAAGGTATAATTCTTTTTAAAGTCCATTAATAAAGTTGACTTTTTTAAAGGAATCCTTTGGTCCATTAATAAAGTTTATGTTAAAGGATTCCTTTGGAAAGAGAATCATTATTTCCTTGATTTTTATGTACTGCTTCTATGGATAAAAAGTCATATTTTATGAATTTATAACTTACTGTTACTTATTACCCATTTGCATCACATCTAGGTGTCTCTACCACATAATATAACAGTTGTGCAGGACTGGGCGTGGTGGCTCATGTCTGTAATCCTAGCACTTTGGGAGGCCGAGGTGGGTGGATCATCTGAGGTCAGGAGTTCGAGACCAGCCTGGCCAACATGGTGAAACCCCGTCTCTTCTAAAAATACAAAAAAGTTAGTCAGGCATGGTGGTGTGCACCTGTAATCCCAGGTACTCAGGAGGCTGAGGCAGGAGAATCTCTTGAACCTGAGAGGCAGAGGTTGCAGTGAGCTGAGATCTCACCATTGCACTCCATCCTGGGCAACAAGAGCAAAACTTGGTCTTAAAAAAAAAAAAAAAAAAAAGTTGTATGTTGTTTGAGCAAACACGTTCGTTCTTTGTAGTTAAGTGCATCATTGGTCATTAGATTTCTACTTCATTTGTGAAACTTTTAAAGAAGAAAATAAGCAAAATTTTAAAAATATCTTAACTTTTTTTACAAAGCCTAGAAAAAATATCATGTGATCATATTATCCACCTCTTCACACACAGTATTTGGATATGGTAGCATGATAGTATGTCAGTTTGTAAATAAGAGACGATGCTGTTTGTGGGTAGTTAGTAGAAATAAAAACAAATTCACAGTTAGGTTTTAAGTTGCACATTCCACCATGCTAAAAATGTATTGATTTGTACATGAAAGTAGAAGTCAGTAATTGGGTTTATTAATTATTCAAGCTCAAAAGCCAATTTTACTTGTAAAGAGTAAAGAATTATATGAATCAGGAGTGTGGTGTTTGTGTCTTCTTAAATTCTTTAAGTAAACCTTAGTAGATTTATTAGTACATTCCTAGACTAAGTCACCCTTTACATACTATTAGACTAAAGATCTGAAAAACAGCACTAGGAAAAAAAGGAAATATTTTAAATTTCACATTCTTACCAAATTTTTTGAAACAATTATTTTTATAATCTTTTTTTATTCTTACTAATACAAAAATGTTCTACCATAGCTCATATGTTTGAGTAATATTTAATATATATCAATAAGATTTAGAGACAGAGTTACCTTGGAATTATTTGTGGATACACAATTTACTTTTCTGAAATTCTCATTAAATGTAATTTCTTTTTTTGTATCTGAAGGGTGCCATTCTCACTGGTCCTCCAGGCACTGGGAAGACACTGCTAGCTAAGGCAACAGCTGGAGAAGCCAATGTCCCCTTCATCACCGTTAGTGGATCCGAGTTTTTGGAGATGTTTGTTGGTGTGGGCCCAGCTAGAGTGAGTCTCATTCTGTTCTGATGGTACAGCTTCCTTACACCCACCAGTTCCCCACAGATGGGAGGACTTGCTGGAGATGGCGCTGCCCCCTGGAGTGCTAGAGTGATCTCTCAACAATCTCTGGCCTGAGCTCCTCTCCGGTCTAATCCTCCAGCAAAGCCTGTGACTTCCACTCCACCTTTCCTTGAACCAGCTAGGACTACAGTTTGCTACCTATATTAGACCAATTTCAAGAATTGACGGCCAGGTGCCGAGGCTCATGCCTGTAATCCCAGCACTTTGGGAGGCTGAGGTGGGTGGAATGCTTGAAGTCAAGAGTTTAAGAACGGCCTGGCCAACATGGTAAAACCCTGTCTCTATTAAAAATACAAAAATTAGCCAGGCGTGGTCACATGCCTATAATTGCAGCTGTTTTGGAGACTGAGGCAGGAGAATCTCCTGAACCTGGGCAGCAGAGGTTGCAGTGAACCAAGATCACACCACTGCATTCCAGCTTGGGTGACAGAGTGAGATACTATCTCACAAAAAAAAAAAAAAGAATTTGCTTTAATTTGTGGACTTTTTTTTTTTTTTGGTGACATTTATTGAGATATAATCTACATACCAAACAATTGATCCCTGTAAAGTATACAGTTCAGTAGCTTTTAATAATTCACAGATTTGTGCAACCATCACCACAGTCATTTTTACAACATTTCCATTACATCAAGAAGAAATCCCATATTCTTTAATGGTCACATCCCTCTTGCTCCCATATTCAACCATGCTAAAAATGCACTAATTTATACATGAAAGTAGAAGTCAGTAGTTGGGATTATTAATTATTTGACCTCAAAAACCAATTTTACTTGTAAAGAGTAAAAGAATTACATAAGTCGGGAGTCCTAAGCAAACTACCCAACAGAGCTTCCTAGTCCCAGACATTCTGTGTAAATGAAATTACACAGTATGTGGTTTTTTTATGCCTGATTTCTTTCACTTAGCGTAATGTTTTCAAATGGTAGCTCTACTTTTAACTTTTTAAGGAACCACCAGACTGTTTTCCAAATTACCTGCCCATTTTACATCCCTACCAGCAGTGTGTAAGGGGTTCTGATGTTTTCCCATCCTTACCAACACTGATTATTGTCTGTTTTTTTGATAATGGCCACCTTGGTGAGTATGATGTAGTATCTCATGGTTTTGATTTACATTTCCATGATGACGAGTGATGTTGAGCATCTTGTATGTGCTTATTGGCCATTTGTATATTTGTATATCTTCCTTGGAGAGATGCTTATTCAGATCCTTTGCCCAGTTTTTAATTGGGTTGTTAAATTGTAAGAGGTTTTTTTTTTTTTTTTTTTTTTGAGACGGAGTTTCGCTCTTGTTACCCAGGCTGGAGTGCAATGGCGCGATCTTGGCTCACCGCAACCTCTGCCTCCTGGGTTCAGGCAATTCTCCTGCCTCAGCCTCCCAAGTAGCCAGGACTACAGGCACGTGCCACCATGCCCAGCTAATTTTTTTTTGTATTTTTAGTAGAGACAGGGTTTCACCATGTTGACCAGGATGGTCTCGATCTCTTGACCTCGTGATCCACCCGCCTCGGCCTCCCAAAGTGCTGGGATTACAGGCGTGAGCCACCGCGCCTGGCCTGGTTTTTTTTTTTTTTGTTTTGTTTTTTCTTTGAGACTTGCTGGACTGCAGTGGTGTGATCTCTGCTCGCTGCCACCTCTGCCTCCTGGATTCAAGCGGTTCTCCTGCCTCAGCCTCCCTAGTAGCTGAGATTACAGGTGCCTGCCACCATGCCCAGCTAATTTTTGTATTTTTAGTAGAGTTGGGGTTTCACTAAATGTTGGCCAGGCTGGTCTTGAACTCCTGACCTCAGGTGATGCACCTGCCTTGGCCTCCCAAAGTGCTGGGATTACAGGTGTGAGCCACCTTGTCCAGCCTCACCTTCAGATCTATTTCATACTTTGCTGTTGTTGTACAGATAAGTCTTAGAAAAATAGGGAATGAGGGAAAGTTGGGCATTTATGATGATGAGTCATGGGATCTAATGTGGATGGGGGGACATTGAAGACAGGAGAGGAGCTGTGGGTGGTGGTGAGGAAGCATGGGCCTCTTGGGTTGGAGAGCTGAGAAATGGTAAAAAGTTGGCATGAGATGCCTGAGTATGTCTGTGAGGCCCGATGATAGCAGGGGGTGGTCAGAGAGTAGATGACTTGAAGCTAGTGGTTTAGAGGACAACCTTGGCAGTGCTGGCCTTGTCAGAGTGACCCAAAGGTGAATGAAGAGGTGGTCAGGCAACTGAGAGACGAGCACCACATGGATGGAAATCACTGAGAATATAGTGCCTGATGGCATTCAGGCTGGGGGTGCCCACGGCAGTGTGGTGGAGTGCCTCCCACAAGGCCTGAGCCTCAGCAAGCAGGGGCATTTCCAGCAGTTATTTTGGCAGCAGCAGTGGGGTGTGAGATGGACCTCAGCTCCAGCCAGCCTGTAGGGGAAGATGCAGACTCCTGCTTGAGGCTTGCTGGGACAACTGAGTTCCTGTTCATGCCAGGATGGGATGGGTGAACTTTGAAGGTGTGGGTCTGTAGGTCACAGATCCTGGAGTTTAAAGGAAAGGCTGGAGAGGGATACGAGTTATTTTAGTGGATGTGTTCAGAGCAGTGTAGGAATGAACATCCAGAAATTCAGACAGGAAGACGTGGACTTCTGGCGAGTGAAGTGGGGGTGTGGGGTGGGAGTGGGCGGGTGGGGAGTTGTCTCTGATGCTCCTTGAAGGGGCAGGTGACTGATGGTGAGGTTTGCTACTGCTTTCCTACTTGTAACTCTTTTTTAAAAATGTACCTTACAGTGTGTTTCACAAAAAGATTGTCTGCACATGGGACGGGAAGCTGGAGATTTATTTCATTTCTCTTTTTTTTTGAGACAGAGTTTCGCTTGTTGCCCAGGCTGGAGTGCAATGGCGTGATCTAGGCTCGCTGCAACCTCTGCCTTCCGGGTTCAAGCAATTCTCCTGCTTCAGCCTCGCGAGTAGCTGGGATTATAGGCATGCACCACCATGCCCGGCTAATTTTGTATTTTTGGTAGAGACAGAGTTTCTCCATGTTGGTCAGGCTATTCTCAAACTCCCGACCTTAGGTGATCTGCGCCTGCCTCGGCCTCCCAAAGTGCTGGGATTATAGGCGTGAGCCACCACGCCTGGCCAATTTATTTCGTTTCTTATTTAAAGAATAAATAATATTCTCTGGTCAAGTGACTCTCTGTTTCTGTTTTCACCAAGGTCCGAGACTTATTTGCCCTTGCTCGGAAGAATGCCCCTTGCATCCTCTTCATTGATGAAATTGATGCAGTGGGAAGGAAGAGAGGAAGAGGCAACTTCGGAGGGCAGAGTGAGCAGGAGAACACACTCAATCAGCTGCTGGTGGAGATGGATGGTGAGTGGGGTCAAGGCTTTTGTATCTTCAGCTGCACTTTTTGTTTCTTTTTTTTTTTTGAGACAGAGTCTCGCTCTGTTGACGGGCGCCAGGGTGAAGTGCAGTGGCACGATCTTGGCCCACTGCAACCTCTGCCTCCCGGGCTCAAGCAGTTCTCCTGCCTCAGCCTCTCGAGTAGCTGGGACTACAGATGTGCGCCACCACACTCAGCTAATTTTTTATATTTTAGTAGAGACGGGGTTTCACTGTGTTGGCCAGGATGGTCTTGATCTCTTGACCTTGTGTCCACCCGCCTCGGCCTCCCAAAGTGCTGGGATTACAGGCATGAGCCACTGCGCCCGGCCCAGCTGCACGTTTTTTTTTTTTTTTTTTTGAGACAGGGTCTGGCTTTGTCATCCAGGCTGGATGCAGTGGTGCAGTCTCAGCTTACTGCATCCTCCGACCCCTGGGTTCAAGCCATCCTCCTGCCTCAGCCTCCTAAGTTTAAGCTGCACTTTCTTAGGCCTTTCATTTCCCCCAAATGAGAGTCCTTATTCCAGTATTGAGTATCATAAACAAAAAAAGCATTCCCTAAAACAAATAGCTCTTATAAAAGGCTCTTTTATACCAGTGCAAATAATAGCAAAATATTATTTCCTGGCCGCCTGCATAACTTAATGTTGGTGTTAAGATGTTGTTTGTGTCTGGTGTTTGAATAAGAGAAGAGTTGGTTAAATGAGTCACAGAAAAATTACTGTCTCATTCTCAAAATCATCACCATCTCTGAAGCATAAGGAAAATCTAAGCCTAACCAAGTGTGAATTTAGCAAATTTTGAATACTTTTTTATTAAGAGAATAGCAGTCTTTCCATGCTAGCCAGCTTTTCTTTGCCAGTTTTCAGGATGTAGTGTGTTCTTCCTGCTGGAAGATACGTGATGCTTGGTTGTTTGTACAGAAAGGGGAAGCACAGTGTCAGTAGTCATCAACGCCAGGCATAGAGTCAGAATAAGAAGGTAGAGATTCTCCTCCGTCCTGTGATGGCCAGCCCATGTTGGGTTCACATTGGAGCACCACATTTGAGGGAAATTCACCCAGGAGCTCCTGCCATGCCAGAGTCCTAAGGGTGAAGGGTCTGGGACCATGGGATTTACATTGAGAATTGAGCTGCTCGAGTGTGAAGTTGTGAACCAACTTCAGATAGGCAGTTAGTTGTCTGTGGCCCAGGGTGTCAGACACATCCCTTGCAAATTTAATCTGGTTTTAAGACATTTTTAAAATTGGTATCATCTCTTAAATTTCTAGTTAAATAAATTTAAATATTTGGTTATTTGTCTTTAGGACCTTTACTCTTAGAACTTTAATATGTGATTATTTTCTTTAAGGACAAGCCGAATAGTAAGAAAAATTAAGTTTGCAATTTAAAAATCACTGGATAATGAATAGAAAATGTGTTCAGTGTAGCTGTGAATTTGCAATGCTCATATGTTCCTGATGTTGCACTGTTGCTTTCTGCCTCTTGTCATTTAATAGTGATTGCATTTGTGTTATCTTCTCAGGTTTTAATACAACAACAAATGTCGTCATTTTGGCCGGCACCAATCGACCAGATATCCTGGACCCTGCGCTGCTTAGGCCAGGGCGCTTCGACAGGCAGATCTTTATTGGTGAGATGATGTTCCCTGGGGCAGTTTCAATGCTCATCAATGTAGGTGTGACTGTTTCAATATGATTTTCTTTTCCTTAAAAATGATTTCTAAAGGACCACCAGACATAAAAGGAAGAGCTTCTATTTTCAAAGTTCACCTCCGACCACTAAAACTGGACAGTAGCCTGGAGAAGGAGAAATTGGCGAGAAAACTGGCGTCTTTAACTCCTGGGTTTTCAGGTGAGTGGAAAATAACAGGACCCTCTTGCGAAGTACATTAAAAATCAGTAACAGTTACCAGGTACCAGTTTACTTTGTTACTTTTTCACTTCTTCACTGTGTGCTTCCTAAGCATATATTCTCATTTTTACCCTTTTCTTGAGACAGGGTCTCGCTTTATTGCCAGGCTGGACTGAGTGGTGCAGTCATAGCTCACTGTAGCCTTGACCTTCTGGGCTTGAGTGGTCCTCCTGCCTCGGGCTCCCGAGTAGCTGAGACTACAAACAGGTACCACCATACCCAGCTGGATTTTTGATTTCGTGGAGACAGGGTCTGAATGTGTTCCCCAGCCTGGTCGGAAACTCCTGGCTGTAAGTGATCCTCCTGCCTCAGCCTCCCAAAGTGTTGGGATTATAGGCATGAGCCACTGTGCCTGGCTATTTTTACTTTGTTATTATGGGAAATTTCTAACATATACAGATTTTGAGGAAATGGTGTAATGAACCTATCTGTACCCATCAGCTAATTTCAGGAACAATTACTAATTCACCTCCAACCTCACTTTTATCTGTACCCTCATCTCTTTCTGCTTCCTCTGGAGTATTTTGTGACAAATTCCTGACAACACATTTTTTTCTGTAAATATTGTAGGAATTATTCCTAAGCATTGTTTTAAAAGCTCTATTGAAATAAAATTAAAAATCACCTGGATAAAGTATATAATTCAATGGTTTCTAGTATATTTACAGAGTTGTACAACCATCACTATAATTTTAAAACATTTTGGACTGGGTGTGGTGGCTGATACCTGTAATCCCGGCACTTTGGGAAGCTGAGTCTGAGGCTGAGGACAGGAGACCAGTCTGGCCAACATGGTGAAACCCTATCTCTACTAAAAATACAAAAATTAACTGGGCATGGTGGTGCATGCCGGCAGCCCCAGCTACTCAGGAGACTGAGGCAGGAGAATCGCTAGAACACACGAGGCAGAGGTTGCAGTGAGCTGAAATCACCCCACTGCACTCTAGCCTGGGTGACAGAGCGAGACTTCGTCTCAAAACAAACTTTCTGTCTCTCTAGATTTTTTTATGCTGGACATTTTATGTAAAAACATGTTTTGGCCGGGTGTGGTGGCTCATGTCTGTAATCCTAGCATTTTAGGAGCCTGAGGCGGGTGGATCACTTGAGGTCAGGAGTTCAAGACGAGCCTGGCCAACATGGCATAACTCCATCTCTACTAAAGATACAAAAATAAGCTGGGTGTGGTGGCGGGTACTTATAATCCTAACTACTGGGGAAGCTGAGGCAGCAGAATCGCTTGAACCTGAGAGGCAAGGTTGCAGTGAGCTGGGATCGTGCCATTGTACTCTGTCCTGAATGACAAGAGCAAAACTCCATCTCAAAATAAAATAAAATAAAATAAAATAAAAACGTGGTCTTTTATGCCTGGCTTATGTTCACTTAACATAAGGAACAGGATAGATTCAAATTGTGGCAGGCATCAGAATGTGATTCCTTTCCATGGCCAAGTAAATGTGCCATTGTTTGGCTATTCCACATCCTGTTGATCTCCCCATCAGTTTATGGCCATTTGGGCTGTTTCCACTTTGTGGCTATTACGAATAATGCTGCCATGAACGTTGGTGTTCAGATTTTTTGTGTCACAGTGTTTCTCTTGGTATCTGCCTAGGAGTGGAATTGCTGGGTCATATGGTAACTCTGTTTAACTTTTTGAGAAACTGCCAGGCTGTTTTAATTACTTGCACCGTTTTACAGTCCCACCAGTAATATGTGAGGGTCCCAGTTTCTCCACATTCTTGCCAGCACTCATCACTGTCATTATAGCCATCCTAGCAGGTGTGATTTGGCATCTCACTGTTGTTTTGATTTGCATTTCTGTAATCACTAGTGATGTTTGTTGAGCAACTTTTCATGTGCTTATTCCAATAATTTAAAGTATCCTTTCCCATTCACTATTTCTCCCCATCTAAAATTCAAAATGAAATAAAGAACAGTTTGAGAAGTATGAAAAGATTGTATACAATAGTGTGATCAGAAGATGGTCATCTTAAATGTTCCAGGGGTCCTACTTTTTACTTGTCTTTGGACTTTGAAATTTATAATTTTTTTTTTTTTTTTTTTTTTTTTTTGAGATAGAGTCTCGCTCTGTCACCCAGGCTGGAGTGCAATGGCACAATCTTGGCTCACTGCAACCTCCGCCTCCCGGATTCAAGCAGTTCTCTGCCTCTGCCTTCTAGGTAGCTGAGATTATAGGCACCTGCCACCATGACCGGCTAATTTTTGTATTTTTAGTAGAGATGGGGTTTCACCAGCTTCGCCAGGCTGATCTTGAACTTCTGACCTCATGATGCACCTGCCTTGGTCTCCTAAAGTGCTGGGATTACAGGCGTGAGCCACCATGCCCAGCCTGAAATTTATAATGTTTTAATATTTATTTATTGAACACATACAGTGTGCTATATAGCTTATTTGTGTTGCCATATACTTAACTGAATATTTAAAGAGATGGATCTGAAAAGCATTTGACAAGTTTTAGCTATATGTAAATTTAGTTTTTTCACTGAACATACTAGGTGATTATAAAAATTAGGTTTCTCATATATATTAGTACTTCACCTAATATCCATGCAAGCCATCTTCCCAATACAGGTGGTAGAACTAAGTTATTTAAATGAGCATTTTTAAATGCTGTCTTAGTTTTCTGTTATGTGAGCCATATTGTCTTATTAAGGTAAATAGTTGTCTAATTATTTACTACTAATACTTTCATCTTAGTTCAGAGGGCCAGAAGTATACCAGGGTCACATTAAAAGATAGAATAGCTTAAGCTTATCATGAGTCAAACTGTTACATTTACATAAAACCTTTATTCATTGTACTGCTGATTTAAAAATTATAGATTTGGCTGTCCATATTTGGCATATTTCAGTGGGTAAGCTGTTCTGTGTTCATTTTGTAGGTGCTGATGTTGCCAATGTCTGTAATGAAGCTGCGTTGATTGCTGCAAGGCACCTTTCAGATTCCATAAATCAGAAACACTTTGAACAGGCAATTGAGCGAGTGATTGGTGGTAAGGAAACGGAATGTAACTCAAATAGAAAGGCTGATAAAATGAATTTGAGGCCAGGGATTTCTCTGGGCAAGAACTAGAAACAAAGAAAGTGTATCCGTCCAGGGGCTCACCATACGTGCTCACCTGGTGTCATGGCCCCTCCCCTCCTTCTCCTCCTTCTCCCCAGTATCCCCTGCCCCTTGTCCTCTGCATGGAGGTCAGTGGTGCTGGGTGAGTTTGAGATGGCAGCTTATGAATACTTTGCTTGTATAGGCAGCCAGCAGCGAGGTGTCTACCCATGAATTATACCAGTCAAGTTTGTTAAAAAGCTCACAACCTTTCTGTTTACAAAAGTTTCATCACATGAGTTAGAGGTGCTCTGTGCTGGATACAGGTGATGGGTGTAAAATAGCTGTAACAGGCGTGGAGCTGGAAGTGCTTCCTCAGCCAGCACAGTGGGAGGGCACACAGCACATTTTCTTTGCATTCCATAGGGCTTCTGATATAATCCCCAAAGACAAGTAGCAATACAAGTACTTGGACATTCAAAGGAGGGGGAAGCCCTGTGCCAGGCAGTTCCACAGAGGAAGAGGAGTATGCCCCAGGCTCAGGAGAAAGCTGGGGTGTGGTGTGGAAATGGCCTGGCAAAATGGACTTGAGGCAGTTGGGTGACACCCTGTGTTTAGTTAGGGAGGGAGAGTAAACTGGTCAGATACAGGGTCCTGGGGGAAAGTAAGGTAATGTTGCAAAAAGTTATTTAAATCTAGATTTTGGAAAGCCTTGAATGTTAAGCTCAAAAACTTTTAGAATTTTGTCCTGTGGCCAGTATTGAATTAAGGTGGGGTTTTTTTGTTTTGTTTTTTGAGACAGAGTCTCATTCTGTCACCTAGGCTGGGGTGTAGTGACGCAATCTCGGCTCACTGCAATCTCTGCCTCCAGGGTTCAAGTGAACAGCCTTCCAAGTGGCTGGTATTACAGGCATGCACCACCAAACCTGGCTGATTTTTGTATTTTTAGTAGAGATGGGTTTCACCATGTTGGCCAGGCTGGTCTTGAACTCCTTTTTTTTTTTTGGGAGACATAGTCTCCGTCTGTCCCCCAAGCAGGAGTGCAGTGGCTTGATCTTGGCTCACTGCAACCTCCACCTTCTGAGTTCAAGTGATTCTCCTGCCTCAGCCTCCCGAATAGCTGGGATTACAGGTGCCCATTACCACCCCCGGCTAGTTTTTGTATTTTTAGTAGAGATGGGGTTTCATCGTGTTGGCCGGGCTGGCCTCGAACTCCTAGCCTCAGATGATCTGCCTGCCTCGGCCCCTCAAAGTGCTGGGATTACAGGTGTGAGCCACCGCTTGCTGCCTAAGTAACATAATGAGTGTGAGCCATTGGGTAACATAATGACCAGTGGTATTTCAGGAGAATGAATCTGGCTTTGAAGAGGAGGGAAGCATCTGGAGGCAGAGAACCTTGCAGTCATCACTGTGAGCACTGTGAGCCCGCAGCTTAGCAGGGGGAGCACAGGTGACAGCCAGCAAAAAAAATGAGGACAGAGTAAGAGACGGCGGGAGCATGGGGCACTCACAGAGGCAGCTGGCATGGCAGAGAATGAGCTATCCTGCGTGTGAGCTGGGGTGGGGTATGCCTGTGTGACTCGGGAACAGGCAGTGGTGGTCCCACGGTGTACCAAGTAGAGTGAGGACACTTGGAGCGGTGTAGGGACACTTGAGGGTGGATGGGGACACTTGGAGCCGCCTTCCTGGGAGAAAGGGAGTTGCAGAGGAAATGTTACCCATTGCCCACATTTGGTAAAAGGAGAGAAAGGTGAGTCAGCAAGGTCACTGGCACTTATGGTGCACCACAGGCACTGAAGGTGCATCAGCGGACAAGGGAGGAAGAGGTGCCAATAACAGAGCCCACACCCTGGAGGGGACAGGAGATGAGGCGCCGGCAGCAGGGCAAGGCTGCACTGCGGTTTGGGGGAGGTGGAGGAACTTTGCATTTGGCAGTGAGGCTGTTATGGTGACTTTTGACAGTTCAGCTAAGTAGAGGGTACAAAACCAGACAAGTGGGGCTTCCAGGGAAGACATAGAGGCTGATAGAGCCATGTGGTTCACCGGGGCTAGGTGCTTAGTAAATAATGAATTGTTGGATAAATGACAAACAATTCTATTCTATAAATAGACCTCTTATTCTATAAATTTGTTATTGAAAAGAAAAAACCTCAAATGATGGAGTTGTGAATGGAATGAAGCAAAATATAATTAACTGTAGAGACAGGTGAAATTTGTGTATTTGTGCCTTTTTTAGGTTAAAGAGAAGTAATCAGAGAAGGCGGGGCAGACCAGGCAGCCGTCCAGCCATAGGTTTTGCTCCGAGGCAGCAGCTGCCCCACTGGCAGTGTTTTGTAGTGAGATGGGCATTGAGAAAATGAGGCGAACTGTGGGGAAAGATAAGTCAGAAGTGCTCATCTGCAGACAGACTTAACTCCTGTTTTGTAACTTCCCGCTCTGTGGCATATGCTTGTCTTGGCTTGTGTCATTGGGAGCACAGCTTTTGTTTTTGTCTTCCAGTCTCCTTAATATGCTGTCAGATGAGAAATTCTCTCAGGTGAATTACCATAAACACAGCAAAACTACTTTTGCCACTGTGTGATGATTTGTTGTAGTACAAACAGTGCCGTCAGTTTTTACAGCACAAAGGTACGGAGTGAGGGGCAAAGCCTGCCTTGATCCAGGCCAGAGAAGAATCATGCTCAGACTGGAGTTTGGTCAGCCCTGTGGTGTGCGTAAGCTCCAGCACGGGTCTTGTGGGCCTTGTGTCTCCAGGGTTTGCCCTCTGGATCTGCTCTGCCACCTCTGTAGCTCGCTCTGAGCCATAGGGCCGGCTGGTTAGGTGAGAGTGCAGCAGCATCAGCCTGGCTGGCTCCATGTAGGTAGCTCCAGATCTTGAACTGGCTCCCTGCATTCCCAAACTCTCCTCTGCCTTCCAGCAGAGCAGACAACAGGTAGTGTCTTATGGCAGGGATCTTCGTGTGTCCAGTATTTGAAAATTCTGAATACCTAGACTGAGCAGTAAGGACCTTTCCAGAGTTTGGGTTTCTGTAAGTTTTACCTGTTTCAAATTGACCTCAATGCTGAATTTTATTTTACATTTCTGTTTGTTTCCTAAAACACTGGATATGTGGCTTAAAAGAGAGAGATAGGGTGAAAGCAGGCCTAGGAATAGGGGAGGTAAGTGCCTTTTTGCTGTAGTTGTATGTATTTCGAACTTCATCTTTTGCTTTTATTCTGACCTTGATTAGAAATTTTATTAATTTAAAATTTTTTTTTTATTTTTATTTACTTATTTTTTTTGAGACGGAGTCTCATTCTGTCTCCCAGGCTGGAGTACAGGGGTGTGATCTCAACTCACAGCAACCTCTGCCTCCTGGGTTCAAGTGGTTCTCCTGCCTCAGCCTCCCAAGTAGCTGGGATTACAGGTGAGCACCACCACGCCCAGCTAATTTTGTATTTTTAGTAGAGATGGGGTTTCACCTTGTTGGCCAGGCTGATCTCGAACTCCTCACCTCAAGTGATCCGCCCACCTCAGCCTTCCAAAGTACTGGGATTACAGGCATGAGCCACTGTACCTGGCCTTGATTGGGAATTTTTGGATTGTGATAGGCAACTCAGTCTCCAAACTCCATTTTAGGTAAGACACTGTATAGTGCTATATAACTGTCTTTTAATGTCAGCATCACTAAAATAGTGGCTTGGGATTTTTTGTTGTTATTTTGTTAGGCTTAGAGAAGAAAACGCAGGTTCTGCAGCCCGAGGAGAAGAAGACTGTGGCATACCACGAAGCAGGCCATGCGGTTGCCGGCTGGTATCTGGAGCATGCAGACCCGCTTTTAAAGGTGAAGCAGGGTGGCTGCACTAGGCAGCCAGTGCACGTGTGAGCAGCTGCTTGCTGCAGCCACTCAAGAAGCAAGCTACACTCCCACAAAGGAGAGGGAAATAAGATATTTAGAAGGTTTTAGCTAAAACTTCTGGTAATCATGGTTGAATGAAATTGTTGCATAAATCTTTCCATAGATAAATTATAAAGTTTGGACAGAAAATTGTTTAAATGGACTACAAAGTGTCCAAAAGCAGGCCAGAGCTGGAGGAGAGTTTGCTTCTAAAAAGCAGCAGCTGCAGTGGATTTGAACTGGGAGTTTGTGGCTTTCTTGCCTAAGGATTTTCTGTAATCTCCACACTACAGTGGTGTGAGACACAGGCTTTATTATTCTGAGGTGGTAGAGGAGATAGTCCGGGACTTGAAGAATACTGGAAATTTAACGAGAAAAATCCCAGAAGCGATAAAACTACAAAGGAGGAGGCCCAAATCTAAGTAGGAACTGCCCAAATCCCAGGTGGACCACTAAACTACACATGCATAGTGGGGATCCAAGAGAGCCTGGCAAAAGGGTAAGCAGAGACCAAAGAGAAATCTACCCCGAAAGACAGCCGGGAACCAAGTGAGATTTTAAAATTTTTCTGGTTTTCGACTGGGCATTTCCCGAACTGCTGAAGCACAGTTGATATAAAACAGCTGCCTCCCTGCCTTGCGATGGGTATCAGGGCTGCTGGGAATTGAGGCAGGCCAGGGATGTGGGGATCCCTCATAGAGAAGACACCATTAGAGTGTCTTCATAAAACATCCTAAGGAGCCCACAGAGAAGCCACTAGAACTAATAAGTAAAGTTAGCAAGGTTGAAGAATTCAAGGTCAGTATACAAAGACCAATTGTATTTCTGTGTATTAGCAGTAAACAATTGGAAAATGAAATTTTAAAAATTCATTTTCATTAGCAATTTCAGTAGCATCTAAAAACTTGAAATATGGAGGAATAAATTTAAGAAAATATTTGTAGGACATGCATATTTAAATAACAAGACCTAAATAAAAATAGAGGTAGACTTGGCTCATGGAGTGTTATGTCAGTTCTCCCCAAACTAATTGATAATTTCAGAGCAATCTCTTGTAATTATAGCAGAATTTTTTTGTAGAAATTGAGAAGCTGAATCTAAAATCGATATGGAAATACAGATGAGTAAGAGTAGCCAAAACAGTTGAAGTCACTCAACCCAGTGTTAAAACTGTGCAGCTATAGTGACGAGAGTGTGGTGCTGGTAAGAGGACTGGCACGCAGGCCAGTGGGGTGGAATGGAGCCTGGAAAGCAACTCACACACTTTTGGTTAATTGATTTTCAACAGAGGTACCAGGATAATTCAAGGGGGAGGAATTGCCTTATCTACGGGTGGTTCTGGCAACAGAGAATTCACAGGAAAAAAGGTGAACATTAACCTTTGTATCATATGCAAAAAATTAATTTGAAATAGATCATAAAAACTAAAACTATAAAACTTCTAGGTGAAAACACAGGTAAACATCTTTGTGGCCTTGAGTTTGCAAAAATTTCTTGGGACACAAAAAGCATGAACCATAAAAGAAAAAGTTGATAAATGGGATCTCATCAACATGTAAGACTCTCTTTGAATGAAAGACAGTTAAGAAAATGAAAAGGCAAGCTACACTGTCTGAAAATACTTGCAGTACATATATAGGACAAAGGACTTGTATCTAGAACATATAAAGAACTCTTAGAACTCAATGGTAAGAAAACAAGCAACCCAGTAAAACAATGGGTGAGAGATATAAACATGCATTTCACAGAAGATATATGAGAGGGCATTTAGCACACACGGAGTATTCATTAGTCATCAGAGGCATGCAGATTCACCCATAATGAGCTACCTGAACATACTTGTTGGAATGTTTAAAATGAAAAAGAGACTGTCTTCGTTGTTAATAAGGATACGGAGCAGTTGAAATGCTCACACTTTGCTGATAGGAATGTAAAATGGAGTTAGTGTGGTGGCTCACATCTGGAATCCCAGCCTGGGAGCCCGAGGCAGGCAGATCACCTGAGTTCAGGAGTTTGAGACCAGCGTGGCCAAAATGGCGAAACCCGTCTCTACTACAAATACAAAAATTAGCCAGACATAGTGGTACATGCCTGTAGTCCTAGCAGGAGAATCGCTGGATCCTGGGAGGATCACTTGAATCCAAGAGGCCTAGAGGCTGCAGTGAGCAGAGATCGTGTCACTCCACTCCAGCCTGGGGGACAGAAGAAGATTCTGCCAAAAAAAAAAAAAAAAAAAAAAGAAAAGGAATATAAAATGATATAATTGTTTTGGAAAACAGTTTGGCAATTTCTTAAAAAGGTAGACAAACACTTCCATGTGACAAACAATTCGACTCTTATTTCCCCAAGAAAAATGAAAATCTGTATCTACTCAAAGACTGTTACTACTTTATTTATAATATCAATAAACTGAAAATTGATGTCCATCAAGAATGAAATGGGTTTTTGGTATATTTGCAGCAGTGGAATGCCACACAGCAGTAAAAATGAATGACTATTAATACACACAGCAGTATTGATGGATCTCAAAAACTGAGAAAGAGACCAAACAGTGAAGTATGTGCCATACGATTTCACTTATATGTAATTCTAGAAGCTAAATTAATCCGTAGGGACAGAAAGCATGTCTGTGGTTGCCTGGGGTTGGGTGTGGAGGGAAAGACTACCAATATAAAGAATATTCTTTATCTTAATTGTGGCTTGAGGTTATGTTTGTCAAAACTCATTGAATTCTACACTTCAGATGGGTGCATTTTACCGTATATGTCATCTCTCAAAGTGAATTTTTTTAAAAATCAAAGGAATTTACTTAATTGCAAAAGAGGACTGGAAAGCGAAGGCTGCTGAGCATCTTGGCCAGCTGTGCCCTACTTCTTCTGAAGGAGGGTGTGGCCACGTCTGACAGTCGAGTTGAATGAATCCTGCACAGCCTCAGAACTGTCGGAATGTCAAGATGGAATACTTTCAATTGAGTTTTACAACAAAAAATTGGCTGGGCGTGGTGGCACATGCCTGTAATCCTAGCACTTTGGGAGGCCAAGATGAGGGAATTGCTTGAAGCCAGGAGTTTAAGACCATCCCAGGCAGCAAAGTGAGACCCTGTTTCTACTAAAAATTAAGAAAAAAAAAAGTCATATAGAACTCTAAGGTGAAATTATCCTGAGAGAAAATACTTCTGAGCAGTCAGGACTACTAGATCGCATCCCACCAAGGCCGATGGACTGTGTGGCTGTTGTGCTTATTTTTTTAGTCGATGAGTTTTTCTGTTTATACACAGATGTTTTGATCAAGTCTCCATCTGTAGTAGGATCTTCAACACTTTGTGTTTTCTACCTACCAGGTATCCATCATCCCACGTGGCAAAGGACTAGGTTATGCTCAGTATTTACCAAAAGAACAATACCTCTATACCAAAGAGCAGCTCTTGGATAGAATGTGTATGACTTTAGGTGGTCGAGTCTCAGAAGAAATCTTCTTTGGAAGAATTACAACTGGTGCTCAAGATGACTTGAGAAAAGTAACTCAGAGTGCATATGCCCAAGTGAGTATATGAGAGTGCGTTTTCAGCCGGGCGCGGTGGCTCACGCCTGTAATCCCAGCACTTTGGGAGGCCAAGGCGGGTGGATCATGAGGTCAAGAGATCGAGACCATCCTGGTCAACATGGTGAAACCCCGTCTCTACTAAAACTACAAAAAATTAGCTGGGCATGGTGGCGCGTGCCTGTAATCCCAGCTACTCAGGAGGCTGAGGCAGGAGAATTGCCTGAACCCAGGAGGCGGAGGTTGCGGTGAGCCGAGATCGAGCCATTGCACTCCAGCCTGGGTAACAAGAGCGAAACTCCGTCTCAAAAAAAAAAAAAAAAAAAAAAGAGAGTGCGTTTTCTCCTCATTTTTCATATTTGCATGAGAAATTGATATTCCATGAATGGCTCTGAAACAATACTGTTGTTGCTTGACTGTTTTAGACTTTTTAGGCAAGGTTTATCTCTTAAAATAAGTTCATTTTAAAGCAATTAAAACTTAAGAGAGACTGTTTTTTTTTTTTTTTTGAAACAGTCTCCCTTTGTTGCCCAATCTGGAGTGCAGTGGCTCAATCTTGGCTTACTACAACCTCCACCTCCCGGGTTCAAGCAATTCTTGTGCCTCAGCCTCCTGAGTAGCTGGGATTACAGGCATGCACCACCACACCCGACACCTGGCTAGTTTTTCTATTTTTAGTAGAGACAGGTTTCTCTATGTTGGCCAGGCTGGTCTCAAACTCCTGACTTCAGGTGATCCATCCACCTCCACCTCCCAAAGTGTTGGGAATACAGGCGTGAGCCAGTGTGCTGGGCTGAGAAACCTTTGTAAAATTACAGTATTTAAAGTTTATTTCAGGCCGGGTATGTTGGGTTTGATATGTATTTTTTCCCAGCACTTCATTGAAGGTTTTCTAGTTCTGATTAAAGTAGATCTTTCATATCATATTATATCATATCATATCATATCATATCACATCACATGTCATATATCATATGATATGAAAGATCTACTTTTAGCCTGTTTTGAACTTAATAAGATATGGATTTCCTCTGTAATATTTGAGACATCTTGTTATCCCACTTTTCTTATTTCTGGAGATACTATTTAGCTTATTTTTTTCTTATAATGACTTTCTAAGGGATTTTTCTATTGCTTATTTTTACATGAAATTTGTTTCGCTGCTCTCTTAGGTGGGAGGAGGTCTAGGAGCTTTTCTGGCTGTGTTTATGAAGTGGTGAGAATGTGGTTTCCTACCTTCCAAGCAACCCTGGCTGGTTTTGATCTCCACCCATATCTAGGCCTTTTCTTTTTTTCCAGTCAGTTTGGATCCTACTTGCAGAAGCTTCCTCCTATGTGGTGCTGGTTAGTTTTAGGGGCTAATGGGTCCAGACTGGATCAGCCTCTTCAGACTGTCCTATGGGTCCCATGGACTCAGTGAACAGGGAAGTGCAGGTACCCTTCCAGTCTCATGTGTTCCTCAGTGTGAGTGGCACGCCACTCTTTCTGGGAAGAACCTGTTGGCAGCCGGGGAGGTTCTTGTTTCTTCAGGTCTATCAGGTGCTTCTTGCTTCTTCTCTACTTGCCCTTGTACAGGTAGTAATATCAGGCCTTGCGTGGTGGCTCACACTTGTAATCCCAGCACTTTGGGAAGCTGAGGTGGGAGGATAATTTGAGCCCAAGTGGTCAATGCTTCTGTGATCTATGGTCACACACTGCACTCCAGCCTGGGCAACAGAATGAGACCCTGTCTCAAAACAAAGAAACCAGGTTGTAGCTAGGAGGGGTGGGTCACACCTGTAATCCCAGCACTTTGGGAGGCTGAGGCGGGCAGATCACCTGAGGTCAGGAGTTCAAGACCAGCCTGGCCAACATGATGAAAACCTGTCTCTACTAAAAATACAAAAATTAGCCAGGTGTGATGGTGGGTGCGTATAATCCCAGCTACTTGGGAGGCACGAGAATTGCTTGAACCCGGGACGTGGAGGTTGCAGTGAGCCAAGATTGTGCCACTGTACTGCAGCCTGGGTGACAGAGCAAGACTGTCTAAAAAAAAAAAAAAAACAAAGAAACTAGATAGTAATATCATACAGTTGTTGGGATTTGCATCCTTACTTTGTTGTAGGAGTTATGCCCGGGCTTCTGGCTCTGTGTTTCTAGTTGAGAGTTTAAAGCACTGTGTTGTGGCGGCTGCTGCTGCTGCTGCTGGTTACACAGAGCACCCTTGTGCACTTTAGCTGGCTCCAGGCTGCCATGTAGATTTTGTCTGGTTAAAGAGCAATCATATGTAACCACCACTAATCATATATTTTTCAGATTGTTCAGTTTGGCATGAGTGAAAAGGTTGGGCAAATCTCCTTTGACCTCCCACGTCAGGGGGACATGGTATTGGAGAAACCTTACAGTGAAGCCACTGCAAGATTGATAGATGACGAAGTACGAATACTTATTAATGATGCTTATAAAAGAACAGTAGCTCTTCTCACAGAAAAGAAAGCCGATGTGGAGAAGGTAGGTGCCAGTTGTGGGAATAATTCTCTACAGTTTTGCAAAAAAAAAAAAAAAGATTGAAGTGATAGATGGACCGTTTTGATTGGTATGTAGACTGCAGAATTCTCTCTCTGGCTCACCTATGAGTTCATTCATTCTGATGTTTTATTGTCTGCTCTGTCTTCACGGGGACTTGCAATGTGGTGGTGAGCAGAAGTGGACACTGTCCCGGCTCCTGTGGCTCTTAGGAATGTGACTGAATGATTAATGAAGTATGTCAACAACTACAAAATAAACAATTAAATCAGGACTCTCCCTTACCAGATAGTTCATAGTACTGCTAATGAGAAGCGCGATTGCCTGATTGGAATTTACCATTGTTTTTCACCTCTGAAATTAATAGGTCGTGAAAGACGACAAGGGCAAGTAAAAGAAGCAGCCAAACTGATAAGTAGGAAATTGGTGCGTGAAAGTTACCTGGGGCTTGCTCGTGAACTTCCACGAGAAAGCATACTTTGTGTTTGTCATTGTTGTACCTCATTTGATAGCACCTACAAAAGGAAGGGACCCTTTCTGAACTCAGTGGATTTCTTGCATTTGGTAACCTCTTCATTTTCCAGAGTCCATGTGAATAAAATTAGAATTTCAAAATATCTTTGAATAAATATTCTATAATGAGAAAAACACAATGAAAAAGGCTTTTATAAGGGATTGACACAAAAGCATATTCTCATGTAACTGCCTAATGATTCATTTTGCCTGCTGCCCAGGTAGAGCCAGTTTCTTAAGACAGGAATTGCAGTAGAGAAAGAGCTTAATTCAGCCAGAATTCAGCTGGCTGAATGGCAGGCTGGAGTTTTATTATTACTCAAATCAGTCTCCTCTGAGAGGAGGGTTTTTCAAGGATAGTTTGGTGGGTGGGGAATGCTGGTTGGTTGGGGTGCAGGTGAAATCCTAAGGCATGGAAGCTGTCCTCCTGTGCTGAGTCAGTTTCTGGGTAAGGCCACAGGACCAGTTGTTGAGTCCAGGTGGAGCCACTGGTTGTCAGAAATGCAAGAAGCTGAAAAGCTGTTTCAAAATGTCGAACCTAAGTTCTATAGTAGAGATGTTATCTGCGTGAATAATTGGGGAAGTTGCAAATTTGACCTCCAGAATAATGGCTGGTAATTATTTAACCATGCCTACATCTTAGTAGAATTCAGGCTTCTCTCATCCTCCTCACTTGGTAGCCTTTCATTAGTTTTACAGGGGCAATTTAGTTTTGGGGAAGCGCTGTTATCATTTAAACTATAAATTCTTCCCGAAATTAGCTTGTCCCACACCCAGGAACTAGTGAGGAAAGCTTGTGAGGATAGAAGCAAGATGGAGTCAGCCATGCCAAATTGCTCTTGCTGTTATAATTTTGCAAAGTCAGTTTCACTATGATTATGCTGTTTAATCAGCAAGTCTTCAAAGAAGCCAACTGTAAGTTCCCCCTATGTTACGTGATTCAGAAAAATCCATGCTGTCAGTTCACAAAAATGTGCAGTGAAAAGAGTGCAAGCCAGCATCCCCAAAACACTGGAAAGCATGCAGCAGGGCTCTGTGGGAGGAAAGGCCAGCGTGGGCAGAGTGGTCCAGGAAGGCTTTGCAGGAGACAGGGCCGAGGTACCCAGAAAAATGAACATGTCACAGAAGGAAGGGGAAGAAGGAGTGTGTGGCATGGAGCCGGGGGCACCCCTGAGCCTGCTGCAGTTGCCGGTGGTGGATCCTGCAGACCCAAGAGTGGCATAGACAGATCTGTCAGCTTAGAGGTTTGTTTTGTTAAGATTGAGGATGTACGCAGGGAAAAAGCAACACCAGTTACAGTGGGATCTGTGGCCTCTGCTTTTTCCAGAGAGAGTTTTGAGGGCTTGAATATTTAAAGAGAAAAGGGTGGCTGGAAGGGAAGGAGGAAGGGAAAACGGGAGGATAGGTGGTGAGGTGAGTGGTCACATTCTTGTGAGGCTTTGATTTTCACTCACTGAATCCATATGTGACATGTGAAAGGAGGGGTAGAGAGACATCAGTTATGCATGTGTCTCTTGTTCAGTAAGTCTGCATTTTACATGTGATAAAGTAAACATAGAGTGGAGGAAGAAGTCAGATACGCATTTGTCTCAGGTCGGCAGTGGGATGGTTTCTGGCATTGTCTTTTTCTGTTGCTGTAACATGAGCTGTTCACATTGTCAGGGTGAGATCCAGCAGAACTCTGTCTCAGGGTAAAGGTTTTAGAGCCCACGAGGAATTTCCTTGTGAGCAATGAATGAGGGAGGCCACCTGGGAAGTTAAATGGTTTCTGTCTTTGCAACCATCTCTTTAGGAAGAAAAGGAAGGCGGGTTTTGTGCAACTCAATTTCCAGGCTTAATTTTTCCCCTTGGCATAATGACTTTAGGGTCCCCAAGTTTTACTTTGCTTTTACAAGCCCCAGGCCCTCCAGAGCTAGGTAGAAAGTTGAGGCACATGGCTTTGGAAGTGGAAGTATCTTTAAAATGATCTAACCCGGCCTCCTTATTTTATAGTAGTTCTTAAAGGAGTCCTTAAGGAATCTTGAGCAGAAATGATGAAAAGGTAATTTCAGGAGAGTGTGGTAGCAGCGTGCTAGCTGGATTGGAACAGGAAATGGTGGCCATGGAAATAAAAAGGCAAAGGCAGAGCTGGAAAACCAGGACTTCCTAGAGAACAAAAGAGAAGAAAGCCCGAGAATGACTCCAAGGCATCCCTGGGCAGGGGGAGGAAAGGGAGTGATAAAGGGTTTGGTCTCAACAAGCAAGAAGATTTGAGCAAGGCACATTTGCAGTCAGAATATGAACGGGGGTCAGGGCTGTCAGATAGCTGGGTGTTGAGCTGTGAAAGACAGGAAGGCAGAAGAGCCCAGTCCAGATGAGCCCTCTGTGAGGCACTGAGGAGGTCTGCCGTGATGCGAGTGTCTTCCCAGTTATCCCACTCATCCCTAGTCCCAGTGTCTGCACTCTGCACAACCAAGTGTGTATATTGAAAGGAGAATTGGGTTATCACCGTGAGGCTCTTGAAACACTAGACAGTTTTGAAGTACTTTCTGGTCCATCAGAGAAAATGAGCCATGTGCAGAATACTGCAGAGCCAGCCAGAAGATAGGGAGGCTATGGAGAGGAGAGGGGCTGGGATCTGTGGTCCTGAAACCACTGCCTTCCAGATTCTGTGAGGGCATGGAGTGTGCACCTGAGGAACGAGGATTGGACACAGTGTCTAGGATAATAAGGGTAACCAGCCAGCATTCACCCAACATCTGTGTACCAGCCACTGCCTGAGGTTTCCTTTTTGAAAACCCTGTGACCTCCTGAGGTGTGGCTAACTTTAGTGACCTCTTACATCAGTGTCTAGTGAAGAAGTTGTTACAGAGAGAGATCAGGTAGCTTTGCTTAGGGTCATACAGTTGGGTAAGTGGCAGAGCCAGGGTCTGACCCAGGTGCCCTGTCTGCAGAGCCCTGGCTGTTCCCCTCTCCCTGAGCCTGTGTGGCCCTGCGAGGTAGCTGCAGAGAGCTGCTCAGCACTTGGTGGCCACTGTGAATTGAGACCTGCTGTATGTCAAGTGCATGCTGGTTACGAAGATTCAGCATGAAGAAAAGAATGTAAAACACCTCAATCATGTTTCACTCATCACGTGTTGAAATGATAATATTTTGGCCAGGCCCTGTGGCGCATGTCTATAATCCCAGCACTTCAGGAGGCTGAAGTGAGCAGATCACTTGAGTCCGGGAATTCGGGACTGCCTGGACAACATGGTGAAACCCCATTTATACTAAAAATATTAAAAATTGGCCAGGTGTGGTGGTGTGGCACCTGTAGTCTCAGCTACTTGGAGGCTAATGTGGGAGGGTCACCTGAGCCCAGGAAGTTGAGGCTGCAGTGAGCTGTGATCACACCACTGCATTCCAGCCTGGGTGATGAGACCCTGTTTCAGGAATATATATATATATATATATATATATACACACACATTTTTGATATGTTGGATTAAATAGAATAGATTATTGTTGAAATTTAAGTGATCACCCACAACTATGGGGTGGGTGCGTGTGTGTGTGCGCGTGCACAAATTGAGAAATAAAGATGGTCTAAGGAGGAATCCTAAATTTAGGCTTTTTTTCCCTCACATGTATGCAGACAATATATTTTAAAAATCAGAGCATTATAGTATTATGGTTTTCTAAAAATCCTAATCTTTTAGAGATATAGACAAAAAAATATATATGGATAAGATGATAAGACGTCTGGTATGTTCTTAAAAATAATCTAGAGAGTTGAAACAAGAATGTTTCTAAGTTGATCATTGTTGATAGTGGTTACATGGAGATTTTCCATTCTTTCTACTTTTGTACCTATCTGAGGCATTTTATAATAAAAGACAAGAAAATTGTTTCATAATTTTATATCTTTAAAAACAATATTTATTGCAAACTACAGATAGATTAAATTTCAAATAAGGAGTAATCTCAAGAAATAAGTCTGGCCAGGTACATGGCTCACACCTGTAATCCAGCACTTTGTGAGGCTGAGGCAGGGGGATCATCTGAGGTCAGGAGTTTGAGAACAGCCTGGCCAACATGGTGAAACCCCATCTCTACTAAAAATACAAGTAATTAGACAGATGTGGTGGTGGACACCTGTAATCTCAGCTACTTGGAAGGCTGAGGCAGGAGAATTGCTTGAACCCAAGAGGTGGAGGTTGCAATGAGCCAAGATCGTACCACTGCACTCCACCCAGCCTGGGCGACAGAGCGAGACTCCTCAAAAAAAAAAAAAAAAGAAATAAGTCCATTTTATGAGTTCAGCTTATAATTTAAACTGCTTAATTTTCCTCACATTAGGCAGATGATCTAACATTAACACTGTTCCCTCCTCTTATGATACCATCACACCTCCATGTGTTTAATCCGGCAGGGGTCCCTTTTTCTGTAGCTTAAAACGTGTAGTGTCAAATTTATTGTCCAGCCGTAACAAATGAACTTAAATGTAAACTATTTTAACCTTCTTGCCTTCATTGTGTATCTCTGCCCTTTGTGTGTGTGTGTGGGGGGGGGGGGGGGGGGGGGGGGGGGGGCAGGGGGACAGCCTCCCTCTGTCACCCAGGCTGGAGTGCAGTGCCTCGATCTTGGCTCACTGCAACCTCTGCCTCTCGGGTTCAAGCAGTTCTGCCTCAGCTGTCCGAGTAGCTGGGATTACAGGCAAGTGCCACCACACCCAGCTAATTTCTGTATTTTTAATGGAGACGTGGTTTCATCATGTTGGCCAAGCTGGCCTTGAACTTCTGGCCTCAGGTGATTCGCCACCCCAAAGTGCTGGGATTACAGGCATAAGCCACCACGCCTGGCCAGATATTTTTTATGTACTGTTTAAAAGAAACTTTAGACAAAATAAATTTAACAAATAAGTTTATTTGCATAAAGAGCAGTTTAGGAATTGGGCAGCCCTCAGAATCAGAAGTTCAGAGCTCTGCTCCGACAGCATGAGCAGCAAGCTTTCATAGGCTGAGCATAGAAGCAAAATAAAGAAACTGCAGTCACCTGTTGCTCAACGATGGGGATACGGTCTGAGGAGTTGGCTGTTGGTTGAGTTTGTCATCATGCAGGCATCAGAGTACACTACACCTAGGCTGTGTGATACGGCCCATTGCTCCAAGGCTGCAAACCTGCTTGCATGTGACTCTACTGAATGCTTCAGGCCGTTGTAACACAGCGGTATCTTAACACATCTAAACATAGAAAAGGTACAGTAAAAATAAGGCATTATTATCTTATGGGACCACCGTTGTCTGCATGTGGCCGGTCATTGACTGAAATGTTGTTATCAGTGCATGACTACTTGATTGGCTGCTGCTGGGCATTTGCCTTATTTGTGTGGTCCAATGCATAGTCCCAAGTTCTGCCACCAGTTGGCTCGTTGGCTGTTTAGGGTTGGTGGAAGCTTAATTTGAAATTAGTTACAAGGAATACCTCTAGGTTAAGCTCCAGTTTACTTTTGTATGGATGGGTTATGGGCGCAGAAAAAGCCCTAGGCTAATGGCTCCTGCCCATTCTGCTTAACGCACATAAAAAAATACATTCCTACCACCTCAGAAAAGCAAACATAAGATGCTGTGCACGCTAAACATCTTGTTTTTTAATTGATGTGGTGTATCTCTGAGATGTATATAGAACATACAGCTTCCTCCTTTATTACAGATGGTCAACGTTCATTGTGCAGATGTATGGAAATGTGTCTATTATGGAAATATGTCCTTTACAGATGGACATTGGTTGCTTTGATATTTTGCACATCTTACTCTAAAACTATGCAGCCTTATGTATGAGAGATCTCTTTCATTGGTCTTAAATCCTTTTTTGGAATGGGGTCACCTGTAAATAAAAAATTAATATTTCTGAATAGATTTTGCGAGTAACTATTTAATGGAAATTGTTCATTTTTCAGGTTGCTCTTCTGTTGTTAGAAAAAGAAGTATTAGATAAGAATGATATGGTTGAACTTTTGGGCCCCAGACCATTTGCAGAAAAATCTACCTATGAAGAATTTGTGGAAGGCACTGGCAGCCTGGATGAGGACACCTCGCTTCCAGAAGGCCTTAAGGACTGGAACAAGGAGCGGGAAAAGGAGAAAGAAGAGCCCCCGGGTGAGAAAGTTGCCAACTAGACGCCCAGATGGAGGCCATCTCAGTCTGTCCACTGTGGTTTCAGCTGGTGCGTTATTTCAGCTCTGGCTTTCAGAAGAACGGGAATACTGCGCTGATTTTAGCCAGCCACTGGCCCAGCTGAAATGATGGGGAGGAGTCCTTAATCCTTTCAGCCTTGGAGGTCACAGTGGGTGGCAGGTGACTTTCCAGAGGCCTTGAGGGAGATGCATACTGTCCCACAGCCTCGTTGGGCTCTCAGATGGGCTGGAAAGATTGAGCCCAGAGCAGTCAGGCTGGACCCTGTGGCAGGGATCGTTGCATTGGGCTCTTGGTGTGTGGGAAGGGATGCTTTCTCTTTGTCGCCCACTGTTCATTCCTGTTTCTCCTCAGTTCCCCTGTGCACTTGGGCTGTGAAATTAAACTGGAGTCCTGATAAGAACATTTTAATTTGATTTGTTATTTTAAAGATTGAATCCAGATCACTTGTTGCTGTCTTAATGGGATGGTTTTCTACAGAGAGCTGTAACATATTTAAAAATATGAATGTATTATGTAAATATGGCTTCTTTACATCAAAAATAAAATGTCAACACTGTACGTTTTTTCCTGAACACACAATGGGTCCCTATTTATGCTCTGGATACTTTTAGAAAACATAATGACAAGAAATTAAATGTTCTTGCTTTTTAGAGGGGAATCCTTCATAATCTCAATCTTTCTGGTTCTGTCAGCTCCCACAGGAGACTGGAACCTTCTAGAGTTGTATGTCCTGTAAAGATGCACTGAGCTGTGAATATAAAGTACATGAGTCCTGAGCCTGAATCCATGATAACCACCCCAGTGCAGGTCCTCAAGAGGTCAGTCATGTCCAGATGTTGACCACACCTCCTGGGTCTAGAAGTTAACATATAATTGTAGCCTGACAGGCTGACCTGAGCTGTCACCTGGATTTGAGAGAAGGGACAATGGAACTGAGCTGGAATCCCCTGGGCCCTGGATCTCTGAGGACATCTCAAGAGTGGTCTGAATGGTAAGCTGCTCCTATTCTCTGCTAGAAGGGAGTTATTGGTGTATGTGCTTCCAGAAAAGTGAGTCTGCAGTGTTGCAAACCTATATCAAAATTCCTAGAAAAAGACGGCATGAGGAAGATCTGCTAAGTCTTCAATCAGATGTTATTTGTACATGGAGGAGACACTGGCATTTTTAACTATTTACATTTTTAGTAGTTTCTTAACATTACTCCAGCTTGCTTTGTGTGGTGTTGATGTGGGAACAGCGACTTAGAATTAACACAATCTAGTGGCATCGCTGCCATGGCCCCAGGCCACACATGCTCCATCTGTGGCCACTTCCCAGCAGCCTTAGGTGCCCACCTGTCCTCTGGCCGGCCATGGAAGCAGCCGTTTGGACTCCACAGGCTCAGCATGCCAGGAGAATGACCACCCCCAGCTTGACCTCTGCACCTGCCAGTCTCGGTGGCCTGCCGGCATGTTACACTGGCCAGCTTCTTTCCTCATAGGGCATTTTCGAGAGTGCCGAATGGAAGCATTGTTTCCAGGCTGAGGCTCACACAGTCATGAGGGTGTTGGATGTGCTTTTTACCACACAGGCGGTAGATGATTAGGAGACACTCTTACCCCTTACCCCACCACTGCAAGGCATGGAGCAAGCGTGGGCTGCCCTCTCACAGGCCTTGGCTGTGAGGCCTCCCGGGGGATCAGAATGTGGCCTACTGTGAGTCAGGCTTGATACAGTAAGAGTGACAAAGACAGTAAGAGGCCAGGTGCGGTGGCTCACGCCTGTAATCCCAACACTTGGGGAGGCCAAGGTGGGTGGATCACCTGAGGTCAGAAGTTCGAGACCAGCCTGGCCAACATGGTGAAACCCTGTCTTTACTAAAAATACAAAAATTAGCCAGGGATGGTGGTGGGCGCCTGTAATTCCAGCTACTCGGGAGGCTGAGGCAGAATTGCTTGAACCCAGGAGGTGGAGGTTGCAGTGAACCTGGGTGACACAGACTCCGTCTCAAAAAAAAAAAGTGACAAAAGTCAGACAGTACATACATCACCTGTGTTTCTGGTGAAGTGAGCCACCTTAAGTTCCAGGCACTCGATGGCTGCCAGTGTGGCCTAGAGCTGCTGCTCAGCCTGTGCAAGTGGCCCTCTGTGCTAGGAAGAACAGTGGCTACCTGTGCCACCGCCACGTGGGGCCCGCTCACGCATAGATCTTTTCCTCTCCACGGCCACACGCAGCATGTTTCTAGGACAGATGTGGGTGGTGAGCTGGTAAGATTTATTTTTACTGTGGTCTCAGTTCAGATTTATGCAAAAAGATCCGTGATCACCTCAAGCCATGCTGCTGTGTTTAGTGATGAACTTTCCATCTGCCCAAGGCTGGGACTTAACACAAAATAAATACAGCTAGTGAACATAAGGCCTGGGATCACAGACTGAGGGCATTGTGGTTGTGCTGTGGGGAACCCTGACCCTCAGTGTCCCCAAATGACAAAGCTTTGTCTGTCTCTCATTGCCTGTCCAACACAGGCCACAGCGGGTTCTGCCCAGGATGGTCACCCAGGGACCCAGATAGGTGGACAGGAGGGACTGGGGGCCTGCCTACATGGGAGGCAGAGCAGTAGGGCACATGACTGGCACATGATGCTTCCAACTGCTGATGACACGCTATGCTCATTCTTGTGGCTGGAGTAAGTCCCGTGTTCACAGCTTCAGGAGCGCAGGAAGAAGTAAAGCAGAAATGCTGTGAACAGTGGGGTCTGTACTAGGCAGTAATGAAGCTACTGCCTGTGCCCGTCGTTTGTCTTTGGAAACTCCAAATACATGGCCATCAAGTGTGATGGGTCACAGCAGAAAATGGTCCATCCCTCTACACAGGGCTGGCTGCTGGTGCCCCAGCTCCTGCCCAGCACCCCTGGCTTTGTCTGGAGGCCCAAAGGCCTTTCCTGTGGCTCCTTTGGCCAAGTTAGGGAACCCTAGCCCAGGATCTGACTTGGGAAAATGCAAGATTCTATGGGAGTCTAAAAGGTGGCTGTGGATGGGAAGAGGGGCTTTTGTTTGTGCTGCATTGCTTTTCAGCTATGCACAGTTTTGGCTGCCCCCTTAACACCTCCATTTAAAGATCTGTTTGCTCTGTTGTTTTAGTAAACTGGAGGAGGGAAGGAGTTCACCCCAGGGAGACCAGTGACCAGAGCAGCCATTGTAATCATACAAAGTAACTTATGTATGCACATGGCTAGAGAGATGAAGACACACATTTAGTATTTTATTATGACTCAATTATTTCAAAGTCCCATACTGCATATTCAAATAAGGCAACACGGCACAGCTTCAGGCTTCATCACAAAGGATGAAAATGACTGTTTCTAACTCCCCTGCTAATTCTCAGACATGCTTGAACACTTAATGAAAGGTGAAGTTTATTTTGTGGCCCCTCAGTTCTCTTTCAAGTCCTCTAGTAGAAAGTCTCCATAGTATTATCTTCTGACTGGGTAGAACGCACAATTCTCTGCTGTTTTAAAGTATTGTCTTTGTTCCAGATGACTGATTATGTGACTTGGCTTTATTTGTGAGGGACCAACACCAACACACCTAGGCTAGTGCACCATTCAGGGCCATGGGGTAGAAGGCACCAGGGTTCAAGAAGGAACTTGCCTATTGTAGGATCTGAGCTGGGGCGGCTCCTCTATTCCACCTATCCATCCATCTCCTCTTCTTCATCCTCAAAAGCTTCCTCCCCATCATTGATGGTGGCATCCTGGTACTGCTGGTACTCAGACACCAGGTCGTTCATGTTGCTCTCCGCCTCGGTGAACTCCATCTCGTCCATGCCCTCACCCGTGAACCAGTGCAGGAAGGCCTTGCGCCTGAACATGGCTGAGAACTGCTCGGAGATGCGCTTGAACAGCTCCTGGATGGCCGTGCTGTTGCCGATGAACGTTGAGGCCATCTTCAGGCCGCGGGGTGGGATGTCGCACACGGCTACCTTCACGTTGTTGGGGATCCACTCCACGAAGTAGCTGCTGTTCTTACTCTGGATGGCCAGCATCTGCTCGTCCACCTCCTTCATGGACATGGGGCCGCGGAACACGGTGGCCACGGTCAGGTAGCGGCCATGGCGGGGGTCGCAGGCGGCCATCATGTTCCTGGCGTCGAACATCTGCTGGGTGAGCTCTGGCACGGTCAGGGCCCGGTACTGCTGGCTGCCGCGGCTAGTGAGCGGCGCGAAGCCGGGCATGAAGAAGTGCAGGCGTGGGAAGGGCACCATGTTCACCGCTAGCTTGCGCAGGTCGGCGTTGAGCTGGCCCGGGAAGCGCAGCGAGGTGGTGACCCCGCTCATGGTGGCCGACACTAGGTGGTTGAGGTCCCCGTAGGTGGGCGTGGTCAGCTTGAGGGTGCGGAAGCAGATGTCGTAGAGCGCCTCGTTGTCGATGCAGTAGGTCTCATCGGTATTCTCCACCAGCTGGTGCACCGACAGCGTGGCATTGTAGGGCTCCACCACCGTGTCCGACACCTTGGGCGAGGGCATGACGCTGAAGGTGTTCATGATGCGGTCCGGGAACTCCTCGCGAATCTTGCTGATAAGGAGCGTGCCCATGCCCGAGCCCGTGCCGCCGCCCAGCGAGTGCGTAAGCTGGAAGCCCTGCAGGCAGTCGCAGTGCTCGCACTCCTTCCGCACCACATCCAGCACCGCGTCCACCAGCTCCGCGCCCTCTGTGTAGTGCCCCTTCGCCCAGTTGTTCCCTGCGCCCGTCTGGCCTGCAACAGAACAAGAGAGTCCCCTGCTGTTTAAACAGGAAGGGGCTGTACCATCACCATGCTTGTTAAATGGTCACCGACAAGGAGAGCCTGAAGATTCCATGATGTACGGTTAGCCAAAGGGAGGGGCCGGGGAAACAGGCACCCACCAAGGCGCTGCTGAGCAGATACACTGGCACGTTTTTAGGCAAGTCAAAGTAGCTACTAATCAATTTAAAGATGTATATGCATTTTGGCCTGGTTGTTCCACGTTAAATAGGTAATTCTCGCACATGGTAGAATTCAAAGGCAACAAAAGATACATTACAAAACTTAACGGGCCAGGTACGGTGGCTCATGCCTGTAATTACAGCACTTGGGAAGGCGGAGGCAGTAGATCACCTGAGGTCAGGAGTTAAGAGACCAGCCTGCGCAACATGGCAAAACCCTGTCTCTACTGAAAATACAAAAATTAGCTGGGCGTGGTGGCAGGTGCCTGTAGTCCCAGCTACTTGGGAGGCTAAGGTAGGAGAATTGCCTGAACCTGGGAGGCAGAGGTTGCAGTGAGCCAAGATTGCGCCATTGAACTCCAGCCTGAGCAATAAGAGTGAGACTCATCTCAAAAAAAAAAACAACAAAAAACTGACTTCTCTCTTTTGGGCTTTCTGAATTTTGTACTATGTATAAGTATTTTCTTTGCAAAACTGACACTTTTTCATGTTAGTGGAGCCCCTCATTCATCATCCAGAACTGCTGTTGCAAAGTGTTTGCAGAACTATTTATTCTGTACCTGTAATTGAATAGTAAGCACAGGATTAATTCCTGCCCTCAAATTGTTTCCAGGCCAGTTGAGAAAAGGAGCTTAATATGCCTGAAAGATTTCTGTATTCTATCCAGATTTCAAGTAACTAAAAAGAGACCTAGTGGCTGGGCATGGTGGCTCACGCCTGTATTCCCAGCACTTCGGGAGGCTGAGGCAGGCAGATCACAAGGTCAGGAGTTCGAGACTAGCCTGAGCAACATGGCAAAACCCTGTCTCTACTAGAAATACAAAAATTAGCTGGGCGTGGTGGCACACACTTGTAATCCCAGCTACATGGGAGGCTGAGGCAGGAGAATCGCTTGATCCCTGGAGGCAGAGGTTGCAGTGAGCCAAGATTATGTCATTGCACTCCAGCCTGGGCAACAGAGCGAAACCCTATCTCAAAAAATAAAATAAAGGACCTAGTCTGTTTTCTGCATAATGGTGCATTTCGCCAGACAAGCTTATGTATATCTTACTTTACCTAGAAAAAAATTGAATCTGAAAGATTGGCTCTTAAATTTAAAATCCTGTTTTTCATTGTATCTCATTTTAAAATTGAATATTTCACTAGCAAAAGCATTTTTTCCCAACTGTAAAAATTATACAGGTCTGTGTGTACCTATGAACAGATGCACTTAAAGAGGAGTGGGAGGAAATAATTTTCATTTTTGCTTTTCTGGGCACTGCAACTTTCACACAATGCAATGGCTTTCACTCACTCTGTCACCCAGGCTAGCATACACTGTCACCACCTTAGCTTACTGCAGCCTTGAACTCCTAGGCTTAAGTGATTCTCCCACTTCAGCCTCTTGAGTAGCAGGGACTACAGGAACGTACCACTACACCTGGCTAATGAACATCTGAAAAAACTAGATGCTAGATACTTCTCATTCATTTTAAAGTTAACATCTATTTTTTCATAAATCAAATAGTTGCAAATAATATAACTTTAATTTCTGAGAACAGTATAATCACCTTAAAGAACTTATATCATTCTGTTAAATGTATTGATAGAATATATTTAAAAATCAGAAGGTTCGGTGGCTCACCCCTGTAATCCCAGCACTTTGGGATGCCAAGGCGGGCGGATCACAAGGTCAGGAGTTCAAGACCAGCCTGGCCAACATGGTGAAATCCCATGTCTGCTAAAAATATAAAAATGAGCCGGGTGTGGTGGCAGGTGCCTGTAATCCCAGCTACTTGGGAAGCTGAGGCAGGAGAATCACTTGAAACCAGAAGGTGGAGTTTGCAGTGAGCCAAGATCATGCCATTGCACTCCAGCCTGGGGGAAAAGAGACCCTCTGTCAAAAAAAAAAAAAAAAAAAACGACAGCAGGACACAGCCCAACTGTCTACATACTCAGTTATCTCCCTACGGAATAAAACCTCAGGGGCCACCAGTAGAAGGGATGAGGGCTTTCCCTTTCTGCGCTGTATACACAATCTATGTGTACTGTTTGAAAAAAGTGTGTACAAGCAGTTTGCTTTAACTTTGATTTGAAAACATAAAACCCTTTTTTTTCTGTTTGTTTTGTTTTTTTTCTTTAAGGCCAGCTATGGTAGCTCACACCTGTAATCCTAGCACAGGAGGGTGAAGTGGGAGGATTGCTTGAGACCAGGAATTTGAGGCTGCAGTGGGCTATGATCATACCACTGCACTCCAGCCTGGGTGACAGGGCGAGACCCCATCTCAAACAAACAAACAAAACCAGATATTTAAATAAGAAATACTGAAGTTTCCAGTGAGCAGAACCGGCCAGCCGAAACTGACTACAGCGGGCCTTTGCACTGGTCTGCAGTACCAGCCACCCCAGATATCTGTTTCAGCCCCACTGAGAAGTCAGCTCAGCCTTTCTCTTCTGTTGTCTTTGCCCCATTTGGCAGTCCAAAGCCCAATGCCACTGGCAGGACAGGCCCTGTGGCTCTGCAGAGGGGCCAGCTAGGCAGATGCCTGCTGTGTGCCAGCAGCACATCTGTGGCCCGGCCACTTCAGCCCTCTCAGATGGCCGTCTCCTCGTGTTGTTCACAGCCCTAGACAGCATCTAGAATGTGACTGTTCTCTTATGAACAAGGATTCTCTTTCTTCCTGCCCAGCTGTGTTGCACAGTGATACCTAGCTGTCTTCTCTTAGCAGATGAGAAAATGGTCACTGTCCTTCCTAAGCCTGCACCAACTTCTCCCCACCCCTTCCCCACCCAGCCCAGCAGGCAGCACCTGGCAGGACTACAATGCAGGCATTGGGAGGAAGAGGCTCGGGGCTGGTCCACACTCGGGGCTAGAACTGTCACATTTTACAAAGGAAAGACTCAGGGCAACTGTCAAAATAGCCGAGGACCTAATTCATTAAAATATCAGAAACCGAGGCCAGGCGCGGTGGCTCAAGCCTGTAATCCCAGCACTTTGGGAGGCCGAGGCGGGTGGATCACGAGGTCAAGAGATCGAGACCATCCTGGTCAACATGGTGAAACCCCGTCTCTACTAAAAATACAAAAAATTAGCTGGGCATGGTGGCGCGTGCCTGTAATTTCAGCTACTAAGGAGGCTAAGGCAGGAGAATTGCCTGAACCCAGGAGGCGGAGGTTGTGGTGAGCCGAGATCGTGCCATTGCACTCCTGCCTGGGTAACAAGAGCGAAGCTCCGTCAAAAAAAAAAAAAAATATATCAGAAACCAACAGCTGAAAATAGTTAAGTGGTTTTTGGCAAACATAGAACCCCAATCAATCAGACTTGAGCTAGCTGTGAGTAGATGGAGATGCTAAACTTGACTACCTCGACAGCTCACACCATTTACCCAGCTTCCTCCGTATTTACAGTATGATTAGCCATGAAGTGTTCTGTGCTCTTGAAGAAAGTAGGAAGCTGGTGAATTGTGAAAAATATTTTGCCACTGTCTCATAGCAACAGACGTTCCGGTTAAATATTTGGGAGTCAAGAGCTGAATGTCTTCTGTACTGATACGGTGTGATGTTAGTCAGTGACGCCAGACAGTTAGCACGAGGCTGCCAACTCTAAGCTTTGCCAGTAGGGCTGCAACAGGTCCCCAGGGTTTTCTCAGAGTTCCCCCTCTGGTTTTGAGCTCACACTGGGTGATGGAGTAAGTGTCAAGGGTCTGTGCATTCCCTGCCCCATCTTCTAGCCCTGAATCTGGAAGAAAAAGTTAGCAATGTAGAAAGAGACTGGAAGAATGTTTAACTTTCTGGTGCTTCATTCTTTTCCCACAAAACTTTCCAACAATCGAATAGGCACTCCTGCTATACAACCAGCAATTCATTAAGGAAAAGTTTTTATTTTTTTTGAGACAGGGTCTTGCTCTGTCGCCCAGGCTGGAGTGCAGTGGTGCAAACACGGCTCACTGCAGCCTCAACCTCCCAGCTCAAGCGATCCTCCCATCTCAGCCTCCTGAATAGCTGGGACCCCAGGTGCATACCACCACGCCTAGCTAATTAAAAAAATTTTTTTTGTACATAGGCGGTCTCATTATGTTGCCAGGCTGGCTTCAAACTCCTGGGCTCAAGTGATCCACTTGCCTCAGCCTCCCAAAGTGTTGGGATTACAGGCATGAGCCACTGTGCCCAACTGGGAAGCTTTCTTTTCTTCCTTTTTTTTTTTTTTTTTTTTTTTGACAGGGTCTTGCTCTGTCACCCAGGTACAGTGGCTCAATCTTGGCTCACTGCAACTCTGCCTCTCGGGTTCCAGCGATTCTCCTGCCTCAGCCTCCTGAGCTGGGATTTAATTGGAATTTTAACAAGTTGACACTATTTTTAGTTAAGAATTGGGAATTGTTTAAATGAATATGCTTATTTTATTGAAATAATATATTTGTTGGGCTGGGCACAGTGACTCACGCCTGTAATCCCAGCACTTTGGGAAGCCAAGGCAGGTGGATCCACCAGTTCAGGAGTTTGAGACCAGCCTGGCCAACATGGTGAAATCCTGTCTCTACTAAAAATACAAAAATTAGCTGGCCATGGTGGCATGCACCTGTAATCCCAGCTACTCAAGAGGCTGAGGATTACAGGTGCCTGCCATCATGCCCAGCTATGTTTTGTGTTTTTAGTAGAGACAGGGTTTCACCATGTTGGCCAGGGTGGTCTCGAACTCCTGATCTCAGGTGATCTGCCCATCTGGGCATCCCAAAGTGTCGGGATTACAGGTAACTTTCACTTTTGAAAGAATACACTACTAATGTAAGTTTGTGTTTCCTAAATCATTTCAAA